TCACAGTTTGATGAGAAAAACCAGCAATGTAGAGATCCTCATTATTGGTCAAGGTTCAATAACTTTTCAAATACAGTACTGTACTTATGGACATTCATCATCAGATGTTCAAATACACAAAATATATATGGTTATTAATCTACACATACTGTACTGTACACTAATTATTTACTATTTTTTACACATGTAAACTCCATGTATGTACAGTACCTTACCTGTATACCGCTCCTGTATGTTCCAGGTTTTTAAAGCTGAAGATTAATGGGTGTTAACATTTAAAATAAAATTCAAAGCTCAGTTGTCAAACTATCTAGTTTTTCTTCACACTGGTACATTTGCCTCCACATAAATGTACCATGGCCTAGGTGTGTGTGTGTGCACATTTACCAGATGTGGCAACACAGCATCTTAATCATGGGCGTGAAGCCGTGGATTATCCTGTTTACCAGTTCCCTGTAGATCAGTCCTAGTCACTCAGCCTTGCCATCGTGGCTACACAACAGTGCTGCATAACACGTATTACTGTATAAGGTTCGTTTGTCCTTTAACCTCATTTATTATTTGCATCTTATCACAGACATGGCAATTTCACCGTTTCATGCCCATTCACTCGGCCCTGACGATGGTGCTGCATTGCCACATCTCAGACCCAATCCCTTCACACACTCCCAGGCTGTGGTTATGTTCTGTGGAGGCAAATGTACCTCTTGCAAATACACCTTTCAAGAGCAGTACAGTATACTGTATATGTGGTTGGGTTTTTAACATTCATGTCACCTTATAGTACTTTTTTTGATATTTCATGTACAGGAAAAAGACAAAAATTTAATAATCTTCGCATTAATTCAGAATATATGTTATACAGGGTGTTCCATAAGTCACACACCATAAGAATTTTTTTTTTCATTTTCAGATTAAGGAAGCATCAAATCAATGCTAAATTGGCAGAGAAATTAACCGACTCTTTCCTCCAGCTTCCACTTCTTTCTCTTCTTCATTGATTTGTTATTATTTCCTCACCTGAAAAATATAAAGGAAGAACACAAACTCTTCTATGGCATGTGACTCATAACACACCCTGTACAGTATGAGAGCCAGGAGTAAACACAACACCAGTATATCTACAGTAATCACTTTGATGTACTTCAAGTAAACTTTATTAAATTATATAAATTCTGTACTGTATACATATGGTGACTCTTGAGATGAATTTATCTCCTTGTCCCCTTGAAACTTAAATAAAAACGAAGAAAAAAAACAAGCACTTTAAAATACAAACCATCTACAGCACAGTATGAATATTCTCCAATGGTGGTTTTCATCAAGGTGGAATTACATATACCACAACATGCCTTTTATCTTGGACAATTTGTAATGTAAACTCTACTAGAATAATAGCTTATAAAAATTATATTGTATACAAAATCACTAAGTAAATTTGAGTGAAATGACAAAAAAATAAACCCTAACATTACCATGACACATCTGGACACACTACAGTATGGTACATCTTCTTGGTTAAGTGTCCTCCCAGGCTTGTGTTTTGAGAGAGTATAGAACAGTTCAGGTATACACAAACATTTATAAACAGACGCTCGTCTTTTAGTATTTTCGCTATCAGACGTGAAAAGAATAATTTAATGTATTGGTAACATTCAAAGGGGATAATTCCATCCAGTGTCCTGTACTAGTGAAGAGAAGGCCGGTCACACCCCTAGTGAGTGCAAGGAAGAAGAAGCAGCCATCCAACAGTTTAAACTTAAAACTTTAGAGGTCTTATATCTTGTGAGTCATCTAGAGTGTCTAGGTGTGTGACTATGTCCTGGTCTTTCATGCTACTTCTTCCCACATTGTATCGATATATTCTTTTTTATATTTTGTATGTTTTCTAGATTATTATTTTTGAATGGTTTTGTGACCTAACCCATTTTTTTGCACGAGTATTTATGATAACTTTCACAATTTATGTCTCATACGCAGAGTTTTGCGATGTAAGTTGGCAAAATGAGTAGGAGAATTACTGTGTGTGTGTGTGTGTGTTACAGCATACAAGAATAATCATCCCATTAATCTTTAAAACACAATAGATGTTACTGACCATATAGGGATAACTTTTCGTTGTTATGGTTAACCGTGGAATAATTTACTCGGTTTCATTTAAGAAGTCATTTACCACAGCAACAACCAGACTATAAAATTATCCCTATTTGTTGGGACATATTCTGTATAATTTCATCAACAGCTATCCCAAGCATGCAATAAAATATCTAGTGTCCATTTTTGTCCTATAATAAAACGACTCTCTGGAATAAATATTGGCACATAATTAAAACTAACAGTATCAATCCAACAGGGCCTGAACGTCGGTAATTACGTGCAATCACTCCTAATATATTCAGGCAGTCTTCCCCAGTCAGGTTTTGGACACCTGAGTACCCAACTTTTAATATTCATTCGTGACAGTTTTACTACATCATCTATGAAAATCTACCATTCTCAATCTTGTATATCATCAACAACAGTATAAAACCACTCATACATCCACTCCAACAGTATACGACCACTCATACATCCACTCCAACAGTATACAACCACTCATACATCCACTCCAACAGTATAAAAACACTCGGACCTAAATGTCAAAGTATCATTTATCAGGCTATATCTTCCCATTCAACAGAGCTTCTAAAAGTAACAAGCCTTATCCAGAACAAGCAGATGGTACACCACTCACACCAACCTCATAAGAACACTCTTGGACCTTTCTTCACGCGAGAGCACTCAAGAGTATATACTGTACACCATTTGCACCAACCTCTTGCACCTTTCTTCACGAGACAGCACTCCATCCGACACAACCTCAAGAACTACTATATACTGTATGTATGCATGGCTGAGATGAGGATGAAGACCTATTTGTAAAAAGATGCTTTCTACTGTATACATGCAAAAACTATGACTGACAAGAGGTGAAAATATTAATTATTATTTCATCTCATTCTGCTGCACATAATTCCCATAATGTGGATCATATGTGAAGTTTAATAATAGTTAAAGTGATCGCGATTCAAAGCCGCACAGCAGCAGAATTCTCAACAAAATTTTTGGTCAAACTTTCACCTTTCACTTGGGTGATGTATGATACTACCTAATCAGAACAATCCTTTCCACAAAAAAGGTACAAGAATGCTAATACTGTACTGTAATATAAAAATTAACTAATGTACTGTAATCTACAGCCTAACATACAAAAGCAAGTTGCTTACCCTTAATACTACAATTCACACCCCACGGATTTTTTTATATAGGTGTAATACATAGATTAATTTGTAAAAAAAGGGGCTAATGCCTAGTTACTTATCCAAAAATTAAAACATTATAAAAAGAGGAAGAATGGAATGAGCTTCCAGAGACCCATTTGATGGTTCATGAGGAATAAACACATATCCAAGATGTATTCCTAACTTCCCTAAAAGATACCTGTGTAGTCACAAAACTTACAGGTGTGGTAATGATGAAGAAGGCTGGAAGGATCATTGGTTAAGTCTGGTTAAATTTTACCCTGAACTGCTGGCTAAGGATCCTCTACTCCCCCTATATGTGTAAAAATTTAACAAGGTACAGTGCTCACCTGATGTTTTTTCCCCATAGGTTAAGCAGCCAGAAGTTAAACCATCCTGAAACTATCTGGGGTTAATCTTCAGTCGATGCATAAAGGCTAAAACTGCAAATGGTCTCGTTCATGGGTTCAACTACACCACTACTGTATGTGTGTGTGTGAGGAATGTTGCATCTTGTGTTTCAGTCCACAGGACCACAACTTCACAGGACACGTCAGTACAGTAATTCCATCCCTTTCATAAAACTATTCAAGACTAAGGCCAACACAGTATACCAATAGTCTTATTATAATAGTTTTCCCATATGAGACACGTCCACCTTGATCATCATGAGGAGAATTATGGGGAGTAGCCACAGTGAGTACACTTGGGCTTTTGAGCACAGCAGAAAAATGCAATGATTCCTGGAATAATAAAACAAGGCAAGAGCAAAATGCAGCACACCCACGTACAGCATGATGGACTCTTCTTTATCCTGCCTTTCTGAAATAAAGAAACACAGAAATAATTTAAGACCTTCGTTAATACTAATGGAAATAACAGCAGAATATTAAGGTCATAAAGCGCCACCAACCACCCAAATGTCCGGCTAGTAAGTTAAGTGATGGATATGATACAAATGTATTTTGAATTCTTTGTATAGTATATTTACCATGTATTTATACTTTTGTCAATAAACTACTACTACAACCGTGTATGTGTGTGTGTAAATGTAGAATCGGCCCTTCAGATGTTTTTGTCAAGACACCTCGACTGTGAGTGGTATAGACTAAGGATTCTTATACCAGTAATAAATATGTATGGACATATTTTAACATGTATTTAACTGTAAAAACAGACAAGGAAAAATTAATTAAATAACAGAAGTGCAAAAGTACACACTAGCAGAAACAGGTTACAACTGTCATGTGTTATCACACTTGATGTTCTTTACCTGATGGTATAATTATGTGGTTTAGCAACAAATTTTCTTTGTTATAACTCTGGTCATATTTTGTATGTGACATGTGTGCATCGTCATTTAGTAAATATTCTGTTACCTGGGGGTTTAATTCTGTTATTAAACAACATAACATACACTTTTCCAAGTTGAAGTGTGATACAGTATACAGTTATGGCAATATTTTTTAATAAACACCATTGATGAGAATGCTGCTTCCAAACTGTACCTGAACCTCGACTACTCAATTTTTAACCACTGAATGTTTCTATGATAAAGTATCCCAAAACTTTGATATGTCATCACTGACATAAAATTCACCCTGGTCTCATTATCAGCCTATAATTCTGACATTTTGAGTGGAAAAAGCCACACTCATTTTACATCTGTTTTGAACGGAAACTGAACAAAATAAAAAGACTCAGTAAGTAACTCGAGGAATCTATCATTGATATTTGCTGCCATTTTCTGTCTGCATCTGTGGGAAGTAGAGTGAACCGGCCCAAGAACAGTTCAGAGGTACAAGTGTGGAACTTCACTTGTAAAATGTGTCATCAGGGCAAGCCTAACCTGACTTGACACTGCGTTAATCCCTTGACCATAATAAACGGTCCTGACTTAATGAGACAGCACCTGTCGGCCACGTCCATCAGTTCTTGACACCTGGACTTAAAAAAAAAAATTTGACCGCTGCAAGACGCACGTGACTCCGGCAACCCCCACCAACCCCCTATGTTGCATCTTGCAACCCCATATTGGGTTGTGGCCCCATGTTTGGGAGCTGCTTCTCTATAAATACCAGTATACCTGTATGACGGACAACACTCATTCTTTCTACACAAGTTGGAGTGAAATCAGTTGTATGAGAGGCATTGAGAGCTCTAAGTGAGAAGTTGAGAGCTTTATGTGAGAACAAAGACCAGGAGATGCGAGGTCTTAATACATGGCTGGCAGGTCTAATTGTATCACCATGGATGGGACAACCTGGCTACAGTGTCACCTCCCCTACTAACTATCTTGACAGACTACAGACTACTGTACAGGGTGAACAGAGAATTGCACTGCACCGAGGGATGTTCTCCATTTGGTCCAGAATAATATGACAGAGGAGGAGCCGAGACAAGTGATCAACAACAGCCCCGTCATCATGTTGATGGTCATCATTCTGAACATTTACTATAAGTTCTGTGTTGTATAGTCCTGTATACATACTCTACTGTAATAATTAAAAAAATAATCAAAATAAAAAATTCAGTGCACTGCAACTATGTGATCAACCTATATAATGTTTTTATTTGGGTAAATCAGAAAGAATATCAACAGTAGGTAGCCAATGAGATCATTATAATGAATTGTAATATTAAAATAATCTATAAAGTTCATTACTAGCAACTGTTTCAAAATAGCCACAATGATATAGTTTTAAATGAGTAAGAATAATTTTTTAAGATACATAATAATGTTGAGTGCTGTACTTGATACTGACCCTACACACACTGCAGGTCCCAGGTGGTAAAGCCTGTGTTCCCACCAAAATTACTGGTGTTGGCTGAGTGTTCACAGGAACCATGGGCTGTTGTGCAATGACAACAGTAGTTGCAGGTGCTTGTTGAGGGTATGCCCCAACAGCCTGGGCAGGAGAAGGTTGGCCATACATCCCAGCCATAGAAACAGGAGCTGGCTGATTGCATGTAGGAGCTGGCTGATTGCATGTAGGAGCTGGCTGGTTGTATGCAGGAGCTGGCTGGTTGTATGTAGGAGCTGGCTGGTTGTATGCAGGAGCTGGCTGGTTGTATGTAGGAGCTGGCTGGTTGTATGTAGGAGCTTGAAGTGAGTATGGTGGTGGGGGTTCAGGGTATGGTGGATTTATAGGATTTTTCTCACTGGTGGCTTGTTGGAGGTACTCACCCACAGGAGGAGCTGATGGTGCCTGGCTGTCTGGATGAGGAATCTGTGGAAAATTTTATAGTCAGTAACTATAATAGCCCCATTAATGTACAGTTCTAAACCCCATTTGGATTATTTAGTATTCAGAGGAGATATATTCATTCTCTCCAATGACATATAAAACAAGTCTGCTGGATGGGAAGTTCATGGCAATACAGTATCAAGGTCCTCTAACAGGTCCCGACACTCCACAAAACACCTTTCCATAGCCACCATGTTGTGTCCCTGTTCGGTAATTGGCTGTTGTGGTCTTGGTCTTTAAATGAATTTCCAGACCGGCTGCTGTTTAGTGTACTGTAGTACTGCACTGTTAAGACATACGATAAACCTGTTACGTACATATAACTATCATCACATCGTCCCTTTATGAACAGGTATCTCTCCCGAAACAATTAGGGACGTATCACACTTTGCCATGAGTTGATAAATTAATTACTTCACGTATCACTAACTGGAAGGCATAGTATCATAAAGCAACTTTCACAATAAAGCTTAAACTCAAACATGGGAAATCCTTCACTTATACTACAGCATCACTTTACATCTTCATACCATGGGGGAAAAAATGTACTGTTAATATCTATCCACCTTTCTGAAGTGGATCAGAGGTAAAGAAACTCATAGATGAGAGTACAGGCAGTCCCCGACTTACGACACGGTTAGGGACCCAAATCCAGGTCGTAAGTCAAATTAATCGTGTCAAAAATGCGAAAAAAATACATAGAAAATCTAAAATGGGTGTGTCTTTTTCTTCTCAGCACCACAAAACTCTCACTTTTAAGCATGTCAGCCATTTTAAAGGGAATTACAAATGAAAATTTTGTCAGTACACAGCACAATCACTAACGTCGGGACTTGAAAATACGTAATTTGAAAAAAATTTGGTACGACTGGGGCGGTTGTATGTCCGGGTGGTCGTAAGTCGAGGAGTACCTATACTGTAATTCATAGGACTGTTAAAGAATTAGAGTGCAGAGTGACTGGTAGAGACCAAGTTAACAAGTAAAACAATCCACACACGAGCCTAATACCGGTCAAATATATCCTAACTCGCATATTTAATACACAATGCGAATCTTAAATTCCACACACTAATTCACAACACTTCCCATCGATTCAATGTCGGCTACCACTCAAAACCATTCCAATGTCAGCTGCTTTTAGGGGCAGACAAACAAATCATCTCATTAATGTTTAACTTATAATGTCTTAACTATATACATAAAAATAATGTACCTTATGCATAGCTTGAATCCATCTTTAACCACTAGTGTAGAGTGCTGTCTCTGAGCTGAATAAAATCCTCTGCCACTAGTCAAATAAAATATTAAAAGTGGCATCCCCACAATAAAGGGGCTAATATTTCAACTGGGCAAGAATACAAGGTAATAAATGTTGTAATAACCCAAAGTTGTAAGTCACTTGTAACCATAACCTAACAACATACTATGAGGTTTGATGATGACATCTCGGTTTACTGCCAAGAACAGTCACGTGTAGCAACGAACAGTGACATGAGGCGCTCTGGACAAGAAACAGACAGACGACAAAAGAATCAAGAGGAGTTTATTTTACTATTATAACCTTCACACTTTCCTCTTTCCAATAAAACAGACATTTGGTTTTATGGTTTGATTGTCTGCTCCTCGTCCATAGAGCCTCACTTCTTTATGACAAAATACTTACCAGTTTGTGATCGCTTGACCGAGACATCGTGAACGGACCGAACGGTAGCAACAATGAGGACACGTTACAGTGAAGCTTCAACCCTGTCACAGTTGCCCTGTAACAAGAAAGTATAATATATCATCAATGGCATCAACTGCTTATTACTGATGTCACATGATGATTAGTCCCTACTCAGCTTATTTCACACCTGGTGGTTAAACTTCAGGTAAATAAGCTGGGGGTAAGTATGGATCACCAGATGATTAGTCCCTCTCCCAGCCTATTTCACCTGGTCATTAATCTTCAGGTGAACCCCAAGGTACTGCCAAGGAGGGTGTGGGACACATTAACGTGTCAGTGCTTCGCACGCCTATCCTCTCAGTACTAATTTATATTTTTTTGTCCTTGAAAGATTAAAATATCATCTTCAAAGATTAAAAGCATCATCCTCAGAGGGTTAAAACATCATCCTCAAATGGTTAACCATTAAACCATCATCCTCAATGGGTCAAGTCACCCATTATCATAAATGGTTAGGTACTGTACAACGCTTAGCCTCTTCTAACAACATTTCTTCACCAAACATATCGTCCAAAAAACATTTATTAAATTGTTCTGTGCTGCCCATGACATATACTGTGTACAAATAAATGAACAAATTGATACAGGATAAAATGAAATAAAGTGGTGACCCTTTTCTTAACCTCTATCTAGCCTTGAACATTCTGGTTGACAATACAGTATTTCCTTGTAATGGACAATATATGCTCACATTAATGTACATCACCAATAAGCATAGTACAGTACATTGATTACAGTCATAATGGCACTGCAGACAGACATACAATAAGTTATATGAGTACACATTGCCCGGTCCGACTAATTACCCAAATGTAGCCAAATGTAGCCACAATGAAGTCAAATGATGGTCGTACAAGCGTAATTCGGGCTGTGAATCACTTCTCGATTATTATTTGGTGTCATATAGTCAAAAAAAATTGGTAAACTTAATTTAATCTGAGTTCTGTTGTGTTAGGTTAGGTTAGGTTAGGTTAGGTACATGCACTTGATCTATTAACTCAGATTAAATTAAGTTTACCAATTTTTTGTGACTTCGTGACACCAAATACTAGTCGAGGTTAGGTTAGGTTAGGTACATGCACTTGATCTATTAACTCAGATTAAATTAAGTTTACCAATTTTTTGTGACTTCGTGACACCAAATACTAGTCGAGAAGTGATTAGCAGTCCGATTTATTCATCTAGGACCATTATTTGACTTCATTCCGGCTATATTTGGCTACATTTGGGTAACTAGTCGGACCCCACATTGCCACCTATATTATTGGAATCAAGTCTGTCAATCAAGTTCCACATGGCTGCTACTGGGTTTCATTTATATCTGTATTCCTTTCACGTGAACAGACACACCCCGGGGTTCAGTACACACACACATACGTACATCCAGTCACAGGTTCAGTTCATGTCTATGCAATCTGGCATAGAATCAGTTTAACATTAGATTCACTATTTTACTCATTATTCGTCATGAAAACATCACTTTAATGTTATAATAATGATGATAACTAAAATGCCTTAAAATAACAGGAAATGGAAGTAGCACTGTGACTACCCCTACGGCACAGTACTTCTTGTGATCTAATACTTAAATAAATGACTGAAATTTCCATGACATAACATTTAAATACACCATAGATACAAATCCTATTACTACTACATATTGGTTATAAATTACACACCAATACTCACTAAAGAGCCAAGAGAATGATATGTCCCTGAAAATCACCACCATTCATCATCACAAACTGTTGGTCAATTCACTCCTATATCACCACCAATGTGTTATAACAGTTCACTATATACTACCACACTCATTACTATGTTACACACGTGTCTTATTACCACTTGTTGAGTGTAAATTCCACGTGTATTATGATTGACGAGAGAGTTAAGTGGGGTGACACTCCTTGCCTCAGCTGCCACACCAACACACTGTTGCTCACTCACTCAGACTCTGACGTCACTACCACACTGACGTCACTACCACACCAGTAGAGGCAAGTCCATTATCACACACACTGATTATGGGCAGTGCAGTTGTTGTTGTTGTTATAATGTTATTACTGTGCTTCAACAACAAAGGTCTTTAAATATTTATCCTAACGTGGCAAAACTGATAACAGAAAGTTTTGCTGTTATTTAAAAAGTTACAAAAACCCACACTGTTCCTTGTTTTGTCAATCTAACAGCAAGGGGAGGGGGGGGCAAGGATAAAAACACCAGAAGGATAGTTCACCAAGCACTTTTTAGTCCTTGGGTGGGGCGGGGAATCCAGGAAAAAAGTCAGATAAAAGGGCACGGAAAAAACCTAACCTAACCCAGCCCAAGCTAAGCTAAGCTAAGTTAAGCTAACCTAACTTAACCTAACCTACGAGCAATGCCATCATATATATATATATATATATATATATATATATATATATATATATATATATATATATATATATATATATATATATATATATATATATATTGTGTTGTCAATGTGTACAAGTCATGTGACAATTTTCCTGTGGACTTTATTTCCGTCCACCGGGGCGAGGGGGGGTGGGGCATGAAGAACTCCCAGTTACAAAATCTCTGACTGATTACCTGAGCAACGATTGGTATAATTTGACAAAAAAATAGATAAGCAAGGTTTGTGTACTGTATAATACAGCAATTCTCTCTCTATTTATTGTCTTTATTATAGGATTTCATTTGTTGTGTTACTTAAGGATAGGGACGGCAGGTGTATGGGAGTGTCAAGGCTTCATCACCACTGGAATGGATGATTAAATTAAGCCTGTGGGCTACTAGCTAGATACAGTAATAGCACACTGTGGACCAGAACAGAGACATACAGGTTACAGCTGCTAGCTAGATGCAGTAGTGACACACTGTGGACAGAACAGAGACATACAGGTTACAGCTGCTAGCTAGATACAGTAATAGCACACTGTGGACAGAACAGAGACATACTGGCTATTGTGTAAATCAATCAAACTCTAGGTATACTTTTCTACTTCGTTTTATTTTATGAAAAATATAGCCTGAAATATCTGGCTAAGCAAACATTTACCGAAATAAATAGTTAATTATTCATTAAAAATACGACGTCGCTTTTACATTTTTTTTACTTTTATCCTTTTCGCCACTCATCGGCTCGTTAGCCGCTTGGGCGGTTGGTCACTAATGGCAAGTACTGGTCCTGAATGTACCTGAACCTGCTCCAGTGTTGGTCAAGTCTGGCCTTGAATGAGCTCACACTTGGTGCCGTCGCCACACTCTCTGGCAGGTTTTTCCAAGAGTTCACAACTCACGCCGAAAAAGTTACCCCTCACAATTTTCTGGACTTGTGGCGTCTTCAACCTTGAGCTGAAACCCTCACAAATTTCCGAGGATCCGACTGTAGTAAACTGGTTGCCTGTTGTTAATATTTGTGGCCAACAGGAATAGACAGACGGAACAACGGCCTCTCACTGGTGGATTTATCGACTAAATTCGCTGGAAGATTATCATACGGGCAAGGTTTTATATGGATTTAAAATAGCAATACAAAACGGAGATTTGTTATATATATATATATATATATATATATATATATATATATATATATAAGAAATTTAAAATTTAAAGTAAATGCCATTTTCTTTGTAACAGGTTTAATATTAATATTATCTGATTAATTATTTATCTTAATTATAATATTTTTATGTCTATAGCTACTTATTCACATTGTTTTTATTATAGGATCTATTTATTTATGGCAGGTATAGTTGAGTGATGTATACCTGATAACCGGAACCAGTAGAGGTGTGAGGGACGGCAGGTGTTTTGTGTTGGGTCGATTAATGAAGGGCGGATCCAGGGGAAGGTCCTGGGGTCCGCTCCCTTTTCATCAGAATTCCAACACTTTTTCTTTAATGCAGTACGGTATTGTACTTAGGCATTCCTGTACAGTAAAAAGTAATTGCTCTTGACCTCAGAATATATGCTATTGCTAATATTAAGTACACGTGGCTTCAAAATGGCCTCAAAGTGCCCCGCTGGGTGGGCTCGCTTTCCTCGCCATGTTCCCCCACCCACAACTTCTTGGATCCCCCCGTTTTGACATTCCTGAATCCGCCCCTGTTAATCATCATGTGAAATAAGCTAAGGAGAAGCTAGTGTTCAGGTGATCTCACCGCAGAGTCATAACCGGCCGTCTGAACTTCATTAACGGGATGTGTTACAAGTTATGGCCAGAGAATAACAAAACGATAAGTAATTAATATTGGTACAACGACCCTGTGGACGATAACGGCCCGAGCTTATAAATGTTCTTCAATAACATCATCGCTTGAGTACGTCCATCAACCCAACCCTGCAAACTGTAAACAGACTTAATTATCACCCGAGACTCGTTAGTTTAGTAAAGCAACATGGCTGAGTATTGTAATTTTAGTTTTAATTATCACGGTTCTATTACAGTAAGATTTTGTGGGTTTTTTATGACCCACACGCAGTGGGGTGGGTTGTTAACGAGGTAAGAGTTGTTGTACTGCAAGGCGCGACGTGATGGGTCAAGACACACGACGAAGGAAGACTTCAGTGTTGGAAGAAATTCTGAGGTTAAGACGTGAGACGCTCTCCTCCGCCGTCCCTCTACCACCCAAGGGAAGCTGTTTTCTCTTATACAGTCAGCAGTTGCCTCCGTGACATACATCAGGAAGGTAATACAATACTGATTTAACGTATGGTGATGAATATATACCTATTGTATTACCGAGAAATAGTGCGACCATTAGTTTTCCAAGTGAATTAAATAATGACATAAAAACTGGTCATTATAAGTATTATCATCGTTATCATTCTCATCGTCTTTATCATTATTAGTTACCGTCATCATCATCATCATTTCCACCGTCATCACTGCCACCACCATCATCATCATCACCACCACCACACCGTCTTCCACCATTAATGACCTTGAAGGGTCAAAGTCACCTGGAGGTCATGTCTGAGGTCACTTATGTACACTACAAAGTCACGCCTATGTTAACTGTACTCACACGACCATACATCAATGTTAATTGTACTCAACCGACCATACATCAATGTTAACTGCACTCACACGACCATACATCAGTAACTGCACTCACCCGACCATACATCAATGTTAACTGTACTCAACCGACCATACATCAATGTTAACTGCACTCACACGACCATACATCAATGTTAACTGTCACACGACCATACATCAATGTTAACTGTACTCAACCGACCATACATCAATGTTAACTGTACTCACACGACCATACATCAATGTTAATTGTACTCAACCGACCATACATCAATGTTAACTGCACTCACACGACCATACATCAATGTTAACTGCACTCACACGACCATACATCAATGTTTGTACGTGTGTGAGTCCGTCTGGTTAGGTTAAGTTCCGGTTAGATTTAGTCATTCTAAATTAAATTGGCTTAGATTAGGTTAGCTTATGTTAAGTTAGATTAGGTTTGGAGTAGATTAAGTTAGGTGATCTTAACTTAGGTTTGGGTTAGGTTAGGGTGGATTACGCTAGATTATGTTAAGTTAGGTCAGGTTAGGTCAGGTCCCGGTGGAGGAGGAGGTGGGCGTGTCCTTTAGAGTCATTACCTGGACCAACTTACTGTGAGGAACATGAAGAACAATGACAGGAAGGAGAGAGAGAGAGAGAGAGAGAGAGATCTAAAAATGGATGTAGAGGAGGGAGGCAGACAGATATGTGTGGAAAAAGAGGGAAAGAAACAGATTTAAAAGGAGAGAGAGAGAGAGAGAGAAATAAAGGGCGGAAGGACAGGTGTAGCCAGTCTAGTAGAAGGGACCTGTTGGGGGGGGAGGGGCATGAGTGACCTAGATAGTGGGAGTGAACGACCTGCCTCATCCTCTCTCCCTCCTTCCTTTCACCCACCTTTCCATTACTCTCTCTCTCTCTCTCTCTCTCTCTCTCTTCGTCTCTATCCTAGCAGTGGGGGGAAGGGAGAAGGAAGGTGTGGAATGGAGGAAGACGAGGGAAGCAGTTAAGGAAGGATGAAGGCAGGGTGGACGGAAGGAGGGAGGGAAGAGTGTCCCGTTAGAGTCGACAGGTATCAAGGTGAAGGGTGTTGGACCGCTCCCTCCCTCCCTCCCCCCACCTCCCTCTCTCTCTCTCCAGGGGATAGGATGAAATAGGATTCTCTAAAATGATGATCCTGGCTCACTCCTTCACACACTCACTCCTTCACACACTCACTCCCTCACACACTCACTCCTTCACACACTCACTCCCTCACACACTCACTCCTTCACACACTCACTCCCTCACACACACTCACCCCCACACTCACTCCTTCACACACTCACTCCCTCACACACTCACTCCTTCACACACTCACTCCCTCACACACTCACTCCTTCACACACTCACTCCTCCACACACTCACTCCTTCACACACACTCACTCCTTCACACACACACTCCTTCACACACTTACTCCCTCACACACTCACTCCTTCACACACACACTCCCTCACAGCAACACACCTTGAACTTGACCGTGTTGGATAAATGCCACGTTCGCCTGGGGGAAGTAGGTCAGTGGATAGTCAAGTCCCACCTGCACCGCTACAACGGTACAATCTTCGTCCTTTTAATACTATATTGGTGACGCGGACGTACAGAGAGTTTTGAACAGGTGAATGAATATGTTTTGTGTGTGTGTAGATCGTTAGGGAGAACATGAATGAACAGTTATTTTGAACAGTTAAAGAACAATAATGTACAGTCTTCATTAACAGATTATAAAAACACAATTGATCAGTCGAGAACATTAACTAACACTTTTCTTGAACAGTTAACAAGACAATGTCCAGTCCCCTTCACTTGTGTGTTTACAATAACCCCTCATACAAACATTTCACAAGTCATTATCTTTGAGAAATTTGTTTTAATATTGTTTGAATTTTATTCCAGTGAAGGAGACTGTACATGCAGTTTATTTCAACAGTTAGTAAGAATACGAATGAACAGTCTTATTTACCAGTCAGTATGAGCACAAACAAGCAGAAGAGATACTAGGAGAACGTCTTGGAGGATGGCAGTCACTAGGAGAACGTCTTGGAGGACGACAGTCACTAGGAGAACGTCTTGGAGGATGGTCACTAGGAGAACGTCTTGGAGGACGACAGTCACTAGGAGAACGTCTTGGGGATGACAGTCACTAGGAGAACGTCTTGGGGGATGACAGTCACTAGGAGAACATTTTAGAGTGTAACAGTCACTAGGAGAACGTCTTGGAGGATGACAGTCACTAGGAGAACGTCTTGGGGGATGACAGTCACTAGGAGAACATTTTAGAGTGTAACAGTCACTAGGAGAACGTCTTGGAGGATGACAGTCACTAGGAGAACGTTCTGGGGATGACAGTCACTAGGAGAACGTCTTGGGGGATGACAGTCACTAGGAGAACATTTTAGAGTGTAACAGTCACTAGGAGAACGTCTTGGAGGATGACAGTCACTAGGAGAACGTCTTGGGGAATGACAGTCACTAGGAGAACATTTTAGAGTGTAACAGTCACTAGGAGAACGTCTTGGAGGATGACAGTCACTAGGAGAACGTCTTGGAGGATGACAGTCACTAGGAGAACATTTTAGAGTGTAACAGTCACTAGGAGAACGTCTTGGAGGACGAAAGTCACTAGGAGAACGTCTTGGAGGATGACAGTCACTAGGAGAACGTTTTAGAGTGTAAAAGTCACTAGGAGAATGTTTTGGAGTGTACCAGTCACTAGAATAGCGTTTTGTGGTTTAACAGTCACTAAAGAGAACGCCTCTGTGGTTCCGTTCAATGCTTCGTTGATTACCTTCATTAGTGTGTTGTCCATGTTCACTGTCTTGTTGGGCTACGTTCACCTTCACGTTGGCCAGGTCCATATGGCCACACGGATTATGTCCAGATCTACATGGCCACACGGATTATGTCCAGATCTACATGGCCACACGGATTATGTCCAGATCTACATGGCCACACGGATTATGTCCAGATCTACATGGCCACACGGACTATGGCCATGGCTACAGTACCAAGGTTTACCACTAGATACCACGACTAATACCTAGATCACATTCCTTATGCAACATTGATCAACAGAGACGAGTAAACAAAACAAAATACTCGAGTTATGCGTAAAGGCTTATGTAAGTGTCGACCTGTGTGTGTGTGTGTGTGTGTTAACGGGTTGTACAGGAAGATCCACGCTCATTACCTGGCATGATTGTCCCGCCTACCTCCGCTTAAGGTCTCCAAGGTTGGGTTGGATTACGAAGGTGACTGATTTACGTCGTGTGTGTGTGTGTGTGTGTGTGTGTGTGTGTGTCAGCGCTCGACAGGAAGAATGATAATAGGTAGGAAGATGATATCTGACATTAAATAAGAACAATTCTTCATAACAAAAACACGTCCCAGGTGTACAGGGAGGTAACGGACCTAAAACATTATACTCCTTCTGAATGTTGTGGTGGTCGGTTAGTGTACGGCATAAGAGAGTTGTCTCGTATCAGTGGCCGCCGCGTTGTGTTGCCTCAGGGTAAAGTGGTCACCTCCTCCTCTCCTCCTACTTGTTGACGCGGTAAGTATAGGTCATTGCCGCTCTGACCTAATTCATAATCTGAGCTCCCTGGGTTCATATTAGTTTAGCATTGACTGCAGGTATAATATGGGGTCATGTGGCAGCGTCAGAGTCACCTTGTATGCTGCTGCTTCCAACTAATGTGACACGAACTCGGCCGGAATGTTAAGAGTGGTTCCGGTTCAAGTTGCTGCAGGCAAACTAAGCGGTGTTGCCACATTACATTGATAGGTCGTGTGTGCAGTGTTGCTTGCCAGAAGGTGTTGATATTAGGGGCGCCTGAACTTGACCTTTTGTAAGAGAGACAAGTCGAGAGAGACAGGGAGGGGGGGGGGTTAGAGAGAGAGGGAGAGAAAGGGGGTAAATACTAATAATTAAAAGGACTATTAGATATTTTTCGTTCAGTTGCACCTTAAACATCCAACTAACGATTCATACACGTAATTAACCTAAGAAACGTTTTAATAACCTCTCAGACGTTGAATTAACCCAATAAACGTTTTACTAAGCTGTCAAACGTTGAACATAAATTATTAAAAAAAAGAAAACGTTTATTTCAAGCTTATTATATTTAGTTTACCTGTGAGACGTTTAGAAGGTTATACCGGGGCCGTGTGTGTGTGTGTGTTGCAATATTAAAAATCATATACATTTGCTACATACATACATACATACTGAACGAGTTTTATCACACACACACACAGGTACCAGGAGCAGTATGGCGTCAACTATGTACCCTTCTTATGACCCCTTAACCTGTAACACATTTGACGACCTCTCGCACGTTCACCTGAAGCGTGTGTGTTTGTTTATGACTCATGGTAACTCGTGATGACTTCTGATGACGACTGGTGATTACTGTTAATTTATGGTGACCAGAGTTGGCTTTTGATGAATTCTGATGACAAGTAATGACGACTGATGATTACTGTTCGTTTATGATGCCCTAAGATGACCTTTGTTGTCTTTTGTGATGACTTCTGATGACCTCTGTGATGACGTCAGGAGCGTGAGAGCAGTAGAAGGAAAGTTGTTACAGTGAACCAGCGGCGCCTCGGGCAGGTCACGCCCACCAGGATGTGACCAACACAAAAACCTGCTCCTTGTTTCTCTACCACACACCTGCCTCCAAACACACACCTTCCCTGCCACGCACCTCCTTAACACACACACACACACCTTCCCTGCTACACATCTCCCTAATCACACATCTCTACCACCACATAAGTTCTCTCCCCCATCACACACCTCCCACACATCTCCACTACAACACATCTCCCCTGTCACATATCTGCACTACAACACATCACCATACCACACATCTCCACTACAACACATCTCCCCTGCCTCACACCTCCACTGCGAACACAACACACCTGAACGTGATACAACAATAACTCTCCAACATACTGTAGTTTGTCCTGAAATACGTGCATAACATTATCAGAAAATGGGTAAAATATTCACTAAAAATGAACAAAAGTGTAACCAAAGCAGCAGCATCAGCCATAATAAACATAACGGTAGTCTGGACTCTTCACATTACCAAAGAGATGATCTATTGTAAATTAAATTATCATATTGTTTGTAGACCAGCACTCTCTGTATGTACGCCTAGTGAACTGACGTGAATTTGTATAACGATTTGACTATACCAATCAATCAATCAATCAATCAATCAATCAATCAATCAATCAATCAATTAATCTATCTCTCTCTCTATCAATCAATCAGACTCATCCTCATACTGTGAATAGATTACCACACCGACTGGTCACGCCACCACAGCATCAGTTAACATGAGAATGGTGATGTAGGTCAACACGCTCTGACTGGCCCTCCACTCTCACAACAACCCTTCTTATTACGCAGAAAAAAAAGTAAGAAAAAAAAAGACAGAGCCAAATATAGAAAAAAAAAGAAAAAAGGAAAGTTACCCGTCTAATATTCTTGTTGGGTTCCGTTTTCTGTTTATATTTTGGCGGGAACTATTGTTTCCGTCTCTTTCTTTTTGGAGTGATTGATATATTTTTAATCGTTTATTTTATCAATTCGTCACAGTTTTTTCTTGATTTACCTTTTTTACCTTTTCTTCAGTTTCTTTATATCTTTTGATTTCTTCTTTCCTTCCCATTCTCTTCGTTTTTCTCCCTCTTTTCCTGCCACCAATTGTTTCTCTCTCTCTCTCTTCCTTCTCACCATCCATTACCTCACTACACCAGGATGCGGGTCAGCGTGGTGGTGGCGGCGATGATGGTGGTGCTGGCGGCATCTCCCTCAGCAGTGCCTGGGGTGGAAGGGCAACTCAGTCTGGGTCCTAGTGGAGTTTCAACGCCTCCCATCAACATCGTGTCTGTCTTCAGGTGAGTGTGAGTTCTTCTGGTCATCTTACACCCATACAATTCACGGTGTCACCTATGTAGTGTTGTGGTACATAGGGAGATAATGCTAAGGAGCTGCAACACCCTTACTGTCATCTCTCTGATTGACAACTGACATGGACACACGGTGACACCCAAGTGACCCAATCGGATTCCATATCGTGACGCTCCCTCAGCCACTCGATCCAACCAATCACAAGCTCGAACGAAAGACTCTGGGCGGAGCTTATTTTACCTTCCCATGATAGATAGATATATTATTGCTAATTGGTGATTGTTGATGCTTTTGATGCTTTAATAGGCCATGTATACTTCCGAATTACGATACCTGGGAGATTTCAGTCTGGCTTCTCTCTACTGCCATCGTCTATTCGCAGGTTCCTGAGGGATCTTTTCAACGCTATCTGGTATCCTGAGACAGTGAAGGCGACCAAGGTACTCCCAGGAACTCAAGCTAAGGTTAGTGTGGTAGTGTGGCAATGTGGTGGTGTAAATGTTGTAGTGTGGTGGTGTGGCAGTGTGGTAGTGAGTGTGACAGTGGTAATGTGGTAGTGTGGTAATGTGGCAGTATGGTAGTGTGGCAGTGTGATAGTGTGGCAGTGTGGTAGTGTGCCAGTGTGGTAGTGTGGCAGTGTGCCAGTATGCCAGTGTGGTAGTGTGGCAGTGTGGTAGTGTGCCAGTGTGGTAGTGTGGCAGTGTGCCAGTATGCCAGTGTGGTAGTGTGCCAGTGTGGTAGTGTGCCAGTGTGGTAGTGTGCCAGTGTGGTAGTGTGGTAGTCTGATGATGCAGGTGGAGGAATGTCCTAACTTGTTATCAATGGATAGAGAGAGAGAGAGAGAGAGAGAGAGAGAGATAAGTAACCTGAAATGTTCTTTATAGAGCGAGGTCAACGAGGTGACCCAAGATGACCCAGCTGACCCCATCACCAATAACACAGTCATCGAGAAGGTGGGGGTAGGGTGATGGATGTGTAGCTCTCTCTCTCTCTCTCTCTCTCTCTCTCTCTCTCTCTGTAATTGAGTTTATCACCTTCTCTGTCTGTCTGTGTCTCTGTGTTTGTCTGTCTTTATATTTTACCAAACATAGCTAACGAATTATTAACCAACAAGTGACTGACTATCTCTATAAAACGACTAATGAAACATAATGACACAGATGAATAAATAACACAAATAACCTCCATTAAAACAAAATAAAATCTACCTAAAACAGTAACCTAACCTAACCTCATCTTCCCTCAACAGTTCGACTCAGATTGTGAAGAGGATGAGAATGGCGATTGTTTGATGCCTTCTGAACCATATACCCTGGAGACTCGTGAGGACCAGGAGGTTACCCGAGATGGAGATATAGTAGATCTATTGGCGATAACTGGAGACCTTCTGGGAGATAAGACCGGCCCGGCAGAGTTACTGGCGGCGGGGAAGTGGCCGCTGGCTTATGTGACCTTCATTACCATTACCTTTTGGCTGTTTGTGTTGATAGCGACGCCTTATATCATCACAGGGGAGACGATTACCAGGAGGGATGATGATGCTGGCTTCCTCGGCCTTGTGGATCAGCAGGTGAGTGAGTGAGTGAGTAAAAGAGGAAGGGAAAGGAAGGGAGAGAGAGAAGAAACAGTGAGCGAGTGTGTGTGTGTGAGTGAGTAAGAGTGATCATCATGCACAGTCAACCCTTTCAGAATGTGTGCACGTGTGTGTGTGTGTGTGTGTGTGTGTGACTGTTGTTGACCATTGTTCCGTCACACAACAGGACGTGCTGCTACTGTTGTCGTGGCTGCTGGGGGAGGCGAGTAACGACAAGTCCTGCTTAGAGCGGCTGGTGTGCCTCACTCCTACCAAGTCTTCAAGATACATCTCCGTGTCGTCCATGGTCTTCAACGTGGCCAAGTATATGCGAAGGTCAGTCTTACTCAGTTTGACCCATATCCTGACTTAACCCAACCTAACCTTGCTCAGTCTTATAGATCAGTCTTACCCATTGAGATCAGCCTTACCCCTATAAATCACCCTTACCCCTATAGATCAGTCTTACCCTTCGTCTTGCCCCTACAGATCAGTCTTACCCTTAGTCTTGCCCCAATAGATCAGTCTTACCCTTCGTCTTGCCCCTATAGATCAGTCTTACCCTTCGTCTTGCCCCTACAGATCAGTCTTACCCTTCGTCTTGCCCCTATAGATCAGTCTTACCCCTATAGATTAGGTTTACCCCCTCAGTCTTACGCCTGTAGATCAGTGCTAGGTCCATGTGTCAGCCTCACTAACACCGTCCCTCCCCCTCACAGATGGGTGCCCTACAGCCAGCGCTTCCAGGACCAACTTCACCACCTCAATGACGTGACCCAAGACGGCTACTCCTACACTTGCGAAAAGTACTTCTGTCCTACTGTCCCTGAGTTGTAGGATATGTGTCCTTCAACTGCAGGATCACCCATATACACGTTCTTAGAGTGGTAGGATCCCATACACACGTCCTTGAGTGGTAGGATCCCCAATACACACGTCCTTGAGTGGTAGGATCCCCCATACACACGTTCTTGAGTGGTAGGTTCCCATACTTCAGTGGAAGGACCCCCACACACGTCCTTCAGTGGTAGGAATCCCCTATGCACACGTCCTTGAGTAGTAGGATCCCCCATACACAAATAAGATACTCAATATTATAATCGTATTGGTCTATACTTGAACCATACTACAAATCACAATCCTACAGGTCACCCTCCTACCATAATCCTACAACACCAACAAGGAACAAAACCCATCCCACAATGACATACACAACGTCTCTACGATACACTGATGATAAATTTATGCCAACAATACAACACTGTCCCTGGCAATAATTTTATTGGATTATCTCAAGACATAAAGAGACGCATGTGTGTGTGATGGATGGGGCTCTGAACACATTACAAATGAATCCGTATAAATTATATATGTATATCAAACCTCTTCCGTATATCTGTCAGACTTGAGGTAATGAATCACGAGAAATAAATAGTTTTAGTGCGTCTATCGTGGCGAGGCTCTGATGGAGGGTTTTAAAAGACTATCGTGTTTAAAGACCTAATTTCTGGTGTTTTCCCGGGTTACTGTGTCCTGTAGACCACCTGTAGAGCACCGTCAGTGATCTGTAGACTCTGACAATGTACTTTAGAGCAATTGGTTTATAATAGTAATCTCTGACTCAAGAATGAATGTGTGTTCTGTAAGTGTTCACCATATATGATTTTGGTCTGAGTAAAATATCTTGTTCTTCTCGACAAGTAAATATCTCTGGGAAGTATTCGTGGTCGTGTTGTGGGAACTGTTTGTGTTCCTGTGCCACGAGTTTGTGTCAAGGTATCTATGAATATATATGAACACACACACACACACACACACACGTTGTCGCTCACTCTCCTCCATCGTTCACTCGAGGCCTCAGACAATTAATCTTAACATCTATATATTTAAAAAGAGTTATCTAATGTGTTCTCGTTTATTGTTAACATTATTGTACAGTATTTATTGTAGTATTTATATCCTTCTAAATATACTTTGCATAAAAATACGAAATTGTTTTGTATTTTCCTGAAACCTTATCGTAATTGTGTGTGTGTGTGTGTGTGTTTTAGATGGGTTCACATTGAATATTATTATCACTATCAAAATGAACAAAAGAACCACTCGCTAACTGAACAAAAGTACCACTCTCTAACTGAACAGAAGAACCACTCGCTTACTGAACAAAAGAACCACTCTCTAACTGAACAGAAGAACCACTCGCTTACTGAACAAAAGAACCACTCTCTAACTGAACAGAAGAAGCACTCGCTAACTGAACAAAAGAACCACTCTCTAACTGAACAGAAGAAGCACTCGCTAACTGAACAAAAGAACCACTCTCTAACTGAACAAAAGAACCACTCGCTAACTGAACAAAAGAACCACTCGCTAACTGAACAAAAGAACCACTCTCTAACTGAACAGAAGAAGCACTCGCTAACTGAACAGAACATAAACACTCTAACCTCGGCTAAAATGATGTTTAGGCGATTAGTCATAAGTTTACAATTATTTGACGAACGAACTTAGATAGACAGATAAACAGAGAGTAAAATCGCCACATAACATCATAACCATTCATTGTCTAACATATAACAGAACAGGTATTAAAATAATGATAAACAGTAAAGGATTAAAATCTTAAACCTTCCTTGACGTCAATAGAAATATGGACAGACAGACAGAAGCAATGGATCTCTACGTATGTTTACAGGATGGCGGTGGGTGAGGGAGAAGGTGGGGGGGTGAAGGAGGGGATGAAGGAATGGAAGGTGAGAATGAGGGTGAAGGAGGGGATGAAGGAGTGGTGAGGGACGAGGGGGGGGGGATGTTTAGGCAATGATAAAAGTAAATAAAGTGGATCATATACAAGATACTATTTTTTTATATCATTTTATATTATTTAAGCATTAAATATTTATATGGCTGTGTAGTATGAAAGGATCTGCTTATTAAACTGTCCAGCCAAAGAAATAACTCTTATGCTTATTAACATGTAGAGAAAGTAAATACATAGTTAACTATACTGTCTAATGAATATCTGGACATAAAACGTAGATAATTCATCCAAAATATTTAATAAATATTATAACGAACGAACTATACGCCGTTTAGAAGAAAATAACAGTTAGTCCTGATATTCATCTCGTTTTCTTTGTTCAGGTCTACTTAAAGAAAACCACAGGTATAGAAGCTATAACTGTTATATACATGACTTGAAGTGAACTAGTCAAATAGATAGATAGATAGATAGATATTCATATACATATATATATATTTATCCAAACCTCACCTTTTTTCTCTGATGTGGAAATTAACACCACGAAATTATCATATAAATCACAAATAACGAGTCATTAACATAAAAATGTCATTATAATTTCCCCATAGCCATTAGGACAAGTAATTACCCCCAATTCTAACTTAATGACCCTATACATATAATGAGATTTAAACTAAGGCCAACTTATCGAGATTATAGCCGGAACAATGTTAGGTTAAGAACACAAAACTCGTGCCATAGTGTTAGTATTTCAGTACTAAACAAAATTATTATTTACACTACAGGGTTAACATTACTAAGAACAAAAACGAACTAAAATGATCATGTTGAGTGAAACCTCCATATAACGGCCCTATTCTTCCCTATAATCCGTTAGATAGCGGGGTTCCATAACGGACCCTTGATGTAACGGACTCTAGGGTGTCCCATAAATTTCCATACATAGGAAAAATAAATTTTATATGAAAATCCATTTTTATTTATATAATATGCTCTACATGACTACCATTCTGTTGAAAACACTCTTCAATGCGTGTCCTCCACTGCTGAAGAACACGTTCAAGCACAGCTGGAGTTATGCTTGTAATGGCGTTGGTGATACGTTGTATGGAAACCTATGGGACACCCTGCTAGTTTGTTAGATGGAGGTTTCACATCTAAAGGACCTTCAATGTAACGGACTTTCCTCAGCATATAGTGTAATATTCTGTTGAGTTTTATATACAGTACCTGTAATTACTTGTACCTGCATGGTCATTATTGCCAAACAAAGAAGAATAAATGCTTTAGCTTACCTGAAGCTTAAAGATTAAATATAATACGACCAGTTAAAAGATAAACAGCTGACGTGAAACCAGTAGCTGACGTCAGAGAAATAGCTGAGTCATAGAAGTAGCTGACATAATAAAAATAGCTGACGTCGTTGAAGTAGCAAATGTCACTGAAGTAACTGACGTCAAAGAAGTAGGTGACGTTAAAGTAGCTGGCGTCAAAGAAGAGCTGACGTCAAAGAAATAGCTGATGTCATATGAACCAATGACATCACTTCCTTAAAAATTCGATGCGGCACCTCACAACCAAACGGCTGAATGACGTCCCTGAACGAGGTGGTGACGTAATACAAGCTTAGTGAGGACGTCAATGCTAACAGATGTGACGTGAGATGAAGCAGAGGCAGTAGAGAGGTCACATCTAGGTGTACACAGCTCGGCAGTTGGTGCAGCGAGATTCTTTCATGAGGAAACAGCATATGAGACCCCAGGGAAAGAACCAGATGGCCAGGCAGATCCCACACAAGGTGAAGTCAGACTGCAGGATCCCCGCCTACACCAGAGAGAAGAGGTGAGGTACTGACTATGGGGGAGTTACGTGATCGTGGGAGAGATATTGTGGTTAAAATGTATAAAGGTGTTGTTATGGTTTATAAGAGTTGTAAAGCCATAAGACCCGATAATATCTTACAACACCTTTGATCAACACCCACAAATACCCACTTGGTTCGGGCATGTACTGTATATAGAGAACGTAGGTATACAGCTCATCAACAGTAATAACGACAATAACGACACAGACGACAATAATACCAACAAAATCCACAACAACAATAAGTATAAGTTTTGTAGAGGCTGATATAGTTCTTGGACAACTGCCCCCCATTGCCGGTGAATCTGTACTGACATATAGGGAAAAGGCTGAGTTTACCAATAACTGACGTAAAACATGGAACTGACTAAATAGAGATGAAAAATAACACCAAGAATTAATGTTTTATTTATTATGAACAAACAAGGGCGGATCCAGGAGGTGGGTCCTGGGGGTCCGGATCCCCTTTTCATAAGAAAATTCCAATACTTTTTATTTAACGTAGTATTGTACTTGGGCATTTTTGTATAGTAAAAAGTAATTACTATTAACCTCAAAATATCTCCTAATATCAAATGCACATGGCTTCAAAATGCCCATAATAATGGTTAGGTTTCAAACCCAGCTGGGTGGGCTCACTGTGGTCGCCATGTTCCCCCCCCCCCCTTCCTTTTGATACTCCTGGATCCGCCCCTGTCAAAAATAATTGTTAACACTGTTGCAAGGAAACTAAAATTAGTAAACCACTGATAATTACTACTTCTACTGATAATAATATACAATGGAAAAGGAGAATCTAAAATTGAGATAGATAAATAAATAAATAATTAAATAAAAATACTAACATAAAAGACAGAAAACGTTGTTATAATCGAGGGATAACTAAACAATAATCATAATAATTTGACCTTTCTTTTTCTATTGCTTTCCTTCCTTCCCTTGTCTCCCAGTACACCTGACGGATAGTACAGGTAGTATTGGCTCTCACCTGGCAGGCGGGACAGGTGGTAGCGGCGACCACAACAACGTTCCTAGAGACAGGGGCGGGTTGGACCACTATGGCAGAATGTTGGACCAATACGGGAGTCGGTTGGATCGTCGTGGTGGTCGTCGGCTGGTACGGTTTGACCTCATAACTAGTCGGAGGAGCCACAGCACTGTAGGGCGGCGGCTGGTCCACTGTGGGAGGAGTTGTGCGTGAGGAGGAGGTGGGCGTGAGGAGGAGGTGGGCGTGAGGAGGAAAAACATAGATTCACCAAAACAAAAAATAATACAAATAAACACCATCTTGGCTTACTGAGAGGAGAGGCAACATTAGGTTCGTTTGGTGGAGACGTGTCCATCGCCGGTGCTGGAGAACTAACGCCTGGGGGCACCTTCAACAACTTCCTCCTCCTGACTGCGACAGAAGTTTAACTGACCGCGAGAACCTCAACTTGGGTGCTGAGTCTGTTAACGGAGAAACAGTTTTGTGTGTGTGTGAGAGAGAGAGAGAGAGAGAGAGAGAGAGATTCATTCAGTCAGTCAGCCAGCCACTCGCTGTGTTCAGAGGTACATTCCATGCCCTATGAGTCACTCGTCTCTCCTGTGTGTTATCTCCGGGTTATCAGGCAGTCAATCAGCACTCCCTTATCTCATCCACCATTCTACACCACCCCTCTCAACCCTCACCTCGTCCACCTCACAGTTAACCCTCTCACCCCTATCAACCCTCACCTCGTCCACCTCACAGCTAGCCCTCTCACCCCTCTCAACCCTCACCTCGTCCACCTCACAGCTAGACCTCCCACCCCTCTCACTCCTCTCCTCGTCCACCACACAGCTAACCATCTCATCCCTCTCTTCATCTTTAGCTTTACACAGCTGACGGATTTCTCTAAACAAAATCTCTCTCTCTCTCTCTCTCTCTCTCTCTCTCTCTCTCTCTCCAAATCGAGTCCCAGTATTACCACCTCAAAAAACGTTTACTAACAACAAGAACAAGAACACCAATTGATTGATTTATATTATTTTATTCGGGGTTTAGTTTCCACAACACATATGCATTAAGTAAAATAAGAGGTTGGGAGTCTTCCTGATCAGTGTCTAACCGACCTCATGAAATATTACAAGTAAATAGAACAGAAAAAACAACTTTGTAGCAGCTAATACTTACCACAGTGGTAGGAGGTGGGTGTTGTGGTAGCTAGAGTAGGCACAGCAGACACACCGTGGAACAGTACAGTAAAAAAAAAAGGGTGAGATTTATAACTCAGCAGACAACAGACCCGTCTATAACAGCAGAACCACACGACCTCAGTAAGTTACCACAGCAGAACCTGGAGACGGTAGACACGGCACTGCAGCAGACAGCCACACCAGGACCTTCACTAGTACAGCCAAATCTTATCACCAATCTTATCATAAACACTCGACGTTCAACACTGCCTGGTGAATATGACTAACTGGGTGACTGTTAAGGGATGCTTCATGGTGAACTGTAGAGTGTATGGTGGTGTTAGGCTGCTGAACTGTAGTGTGATAGGTGGGAGTAATAGTGACTTAGTAGTGATGGTGTGGTAGCTGATAGTGATGGTGACGTAACCGTGTACCTGAGGTATAGTTGACTTGGTGTAGAAGAAATACTGTTTTCTTATCTTGGAGGAAGTTGTGTGTGTGTGTGTGTGTGTGTATGTGTGTGTGTGTGTGTGTTCACAAAAGAACAGAGGATGAATCAGGACAGTAAAGGCACGAGCACGACTGACAATCACACCCACACCCGCCATTGTCTGTCTGTTAGTTAGTCCGTATCATGACTCTACTACTACTGTCAATACTACTGCTACTACTATCAATACTACTACTACTACTTTTTTTTTTTTTTAATACAGTGGCCTCCAGCCTCCCCCAATAGCCACACCTTCGCCACCATTTAATTACCTTAATATTAAATATCCTAATACATAAGAAGCTATCCTGTCTGTGTTAAATTAGTTGAGCCGCAGATCTATGCGGCATTCAGTGACTGTAGCCTCATAGTCAATATCTGCAGCAGTTGTCGGAGTAGGGGCAGAAGCTCTCGTTCCCCTGAGGGGAACTACTACTAATACTAATAATAAAACCATTCATTCATAATATACATCTATACAACCCTCCATTACTCTATCTATCTATCCATCGTCGCCTCACAGTGCGTACAGAGGGAAATAAGGGACCATTAGGGTTTGTTTACGGTTGAACCCGGGGCGACAAATGACGCTTCTCCCCGCCACGATAAACTAGGGACTTTCTCCAGGATATGAGCCTCGTGTAGGGGAAAAATACGAGCTACTTTAGGTATCCAATTACAGACTAAGTTTCCAGGCGGAGGAGAAAAAATAGTCCGGACAGGGAAACTAAAACCGACTCGGTATTATACGGACGGTGAGACGGACAATCATACATCATAGTACAATTATTGACGTACACTACGATTTCTTTGTGGTGGGGGCGTTTGTTGTAGAGCATTACCTACATTCCCGCCAATTTATGACGTCATTTATGTAGGTCATGTACTATTGGTTAGTAAATAATGAGGAAAAAATATGAAGAATTACCTTCTACTGTAGTCTCTTAAGATCACTTCTCACCAACTTAGTCCACGAGGGTGAATATAATCGGTACTAATTATCCTAAGAGGGGGAAAAATACTCGTAAAAAGAGAAAAAATGATGAATAATTTGTAGAAAACACTGAGAAGGAGACTCCTTCCCGGTGGTGACGTCAGAAGAGGTATAAAAGCAACGGTCAGGGTCGCGAGTTCATCACTGTGGTGCCGTCAGCCGCTGTGGGATATTGTCACGCTCACCGCCAGACCTCAACACACATGTAAGTAATGTTCTCCGCGGCGGTGCTCCTCTCCCGGCTTCTTGTGGGACGAAAATATAATTGCACTTTTATGTAATTGTGAAACATATTAAGTTTTTCGGTTTTTGTTTTTACGTTTTGGTATAATAAGTAACTTTCTTTTAATTAAAAGAACACCCACTTCCGATTACTGATGGGCAGAAAACGTGATTGATTTTTGTGAAACAGTGAACCGGAAGTTACGATTTTGTTTTGTTTTTAAAATTATGACTTAAGCATCAACACACTCGGAAAAAAGACAGACTTCTCTGCTGTTTTTGGACGGCACGAAAACGTTGAGTATATTGTCCATCTCTTCACTACAGATCTCGTTCCATACACATCACAAACATGTAAGCAATGCTTACACGAACGCTGCCTCCTTCCTCGTCGGGGCATCCGGATTCACAAAGGTTCTTATATTAAATTATTTGAATCACTCGGGAGGGATATGTTAGGTTAGCGTTAGGTAAGATTAGGTTAGTGTTAGATTAGGTTAGTGAATCTTCAGATGATTTCAGTAAAACTTCCCCTTAGCTGGAAAAATAAAACCGTATCTACATGATCCACTTTAGATAAGACAAAACAGATGTATTCCCAAAGGCCCTTACGTTAATATTCTTCCAGTCAACAGTACACATAAGTGAGTGTATCTGGCTGACTGTAACTACGAGGACTGGGAGATGGGAGGCAAGATGGCGTCACAATATCACTGAGACTGGTGTAATGAGGTGCTCTCTTACCTCTCACCAACCGGCTGATAATGTTCCTATGATCACACGAAGAGTACAGTAGATGTGATGAACAGTATACCCACACTAGTGTGATCAGTATACCTACCCTAGTATGATAGCACCAGTCCAGTAGGTTCAGTATACCCGCACTAGTATGATCAAAGGCATAATCAGACTCGTATGATCAGCAGTATGATCAGTAATATAAATATCCAATAACCAAGAGTGTGAACGAAAGACAGGATGATATGCCAGCGCTGGTGTTACTGTAACATCACCGCCCGCACTGGCATTCCTGAGGGCGGGTCATTACTTCCGATGCCCTTAGGCGATGATGGGGAGGGGGGAGGGGGGTATGGGAACCTAATAGGGAGGGGGGAGGGAGACTGAGGGCACAAGAGAGGGGGCGGAGAGGGGCTATGGGAACATAAGAGGAAGGGAGACTGAGGGAGGAGGGGGAGATAAGGGGGTGATGTTTTGTGGGGAGAGGGGAAGAGATTAGAGGAAGTGGGAAGACTCCTTACATATGGGGAGATAAAGAAGGTTAATTTCATGGGGTGTAGAGGTGTGTGTGGGGAGGTTCCTTACATGTGGGAAGGGGTGGGAAGGTGTAGGGGAGTGTGTGTGTATGGGGGAAAGCAAGGAAAGGCTATACATCACAGATATACACCCCTGCAGAGAACAAGTATACAGCTCTCATTATACAATTAAACACCGCCACCGCCCCCAGCATACACAGAAACACCCCCCTCCCCCACACCCACACCCACACCAACCTCACCCCCAGGCGTCAAGTAGTCCCAGTAACCCATTCATTTTCCGGGGGGCATTTGGTGGTGGTGGTGGTGGTGGTGGATGGATGGTGGAGAGGAGGTTGAATATGGAGGAAGAGGAAAAAGCTAAGGGAGAGGTATTGGGGGGGAAACACAGTGACCCATCAGCTACGGGTCGTTGCACCGTGAGTGTGGCTACGGAAGACGACAGTGACGAGGCCTCAGGCGACGGTGTTCACGAGGCAAGAGGTCCTGGTGAGGGAGGTGGAGGGAGGGGTGACGGAGGGAAGGAAGGGTGTTGGAGAGAAAGAGGGATGGAATGGTTGAGGAGAGGGAGGGAGGAATGGTGAAGGAGAGGGGGTGAGGGACGGAGAGGGAGCTGGTATAGTATATTATCAGGGAAAGATACTTGACGGTGGTGAGGGAGATATCAAAGTTAATCAAACACAGGAAGTTTTTCATATTGGATAAGATATACGAGGATAACTTTACCTCACAACTGATAAGCGATCTAATCTTTGCAGGACCATCGTGGCTCTTATGTCCCCTTCAAATTAAACCACATCATCTGAATAATTTGTAGTTTGTCTTTTAATTCCTGGAGTTAATCCTTTGAGAACGATGAATTAACGCTTTGACAACAGAAAATATTTATAAATGTTTCCCCTCTTTAACTAATCATTTTCTCTTCATAGTATTTATAGGAAAGCGCTGTCGTAATTACGGGGTAAACTTTAGTATTTCTCCATTACTTCCTAGATTTGTGTTGATAATAGAAACAGGGAGATATGGAGTAAAATAATAAGATTTATATATTTCTGCACCAATTTCTGTATACAAAACTCTCCATACAACGTAATTAAACATTAAATGAACAGAAAGAAAAGTAAAATCCTGACTGATATTATACGTGAATAATATTAAAACAAAACCAGTTAACTAATACAAAACAGAATTAAAATTATATAAAAAGTGTATTATATACTTTAATTTATCCATGAAAGTTATATAATTCCTTAGAAATACAAAAAATATTATCTGCTTTTAGATTGCTACCGTGTACAGGATGTTACGTGCCTCACTTATCTACTTACAGACCTTAAACAAAACACAGAATCACAATTATGTTTTTTACGACAACAACTATGGCCTCAAGACAAACAGATACACCCAATCACCATTATTTCCGGATTATGTAACACCCAAGTTTATAATATATGATAATATTACTCACTGCTGCCTGTTTTGAAATACGTGATTGTTGTGTTTACATAATGGGTACAGTTTGTCACAGACTTGTTTTGAGGAATACAGAAAATTACGATATAGATTTTGGTGTGTGTTCTTGAGTCGTGGAAAATATAATGTAGGAAGCAGTAAGCGTACCAACACTCCATGGTTAACAGTGCCACCAATTGTTCCTATAATTTTCCCAAGAAATGTACGACATCTTGCTTGTAAAACGTAACTATTTAACTAACGTTTTTCCTTGACAATTGACGTAGCCAATCTGCAGTTAAATCTTCTTAAAAAAATACGAGTTTCTCTTCAAATTAAAAAAAAAACCGACGAATATTTGTAATGGGATAATTATGGTAATTATTTCACTCTTTTATCCATTATCTTTTTAAAAAACGAGTGAAGTTCCTTGTGTGTTTACTTATATGTCTGTTACTTTAATGTACATATTTCCTGTAATTATTATCTTCGTTAATATTTTCCACGTAATAATTCTTGTTTCTTTGTCTCCTTCCCAGATATGAAGATGATGAGAGTGGCGACAGTCATGGGTGTAGTGTGGGTGTGTCTGGCGGGCGTCGTGTGGGCGGGGGAGGGTGGGGAATGGGTTGGGGATGGCGGGGAATGGGTTGGGACTGGCGGAGAATGGGTGGGATATGGCGAGGAATGGGTTGAGAATGCTGGAGAGGGTGTGGGATGGGCGAGGGATGGGAGGGAGTGGGTGGGAGATAACGTGGTATGGGCGGAAGAGGAAGAGGACGCGGCGCAGGGCAGGGAATGGGTGGGAGAGAACGCAGTGTGGGCGGAGGAGGAGGCGCAGAGCAGGGAGTGGGTGGAAGATAACGTAGCGTGGACGAAGGAGGCGCAGGAGGTGGAGGCGCAGAGCAGGGAGTGGGTGGAAGATAACGTAGCGTGGACGAAGGAGGCGCAGGAGGTGGAGGCGCAGGGCAGGGAGTGGGTGGAAGATAACGTAGCGTGGACGAAGGAGGCGCAGGAGGTGGAGGCGCAGGGCAGGGCATGGGAAGAAGGGGTCCAATACCCCGGGGAGATCATGTACGAGGGAATCATGGAGTTGGGCAGACAGTCCACTGTCTACAACTTCAACTTCAACAACCTACTCATCCTCCTCGCCCTCAAGGTAAGACTCAAGGGACCTTCACGACACATAATGCATACGATATGTTTACAAGGATCACATAAATATTAGGCACCCCAGCTTATTTCAACTGTATTAAACACCCTGACGCTAACCTAACCTAACGCTAATCCAACCTAACCTAACCTATATCTAACGTTACCAGGAGGGGATTGGGTTAGGTCAGGTTAAAAAAAAAAGTGAAATAAGCTAGTGTACTAATGTCCCCATGAACTAAATGTACTCAACTAACATAGAGTAGGTATAGAGTACGTTCCTCCTCACCCATCACCACCACCACCTCCTCTTCACGTTCAGTTGTTGGTGTTGATCGTGATGAGTGGAGGGCTCGGGGTTGGTTTCCTCGGTCGCTCCCTGGAGGCTGGTAACGAGATGTCCTGGGTGGAGGGGAATGACCTGCTCTTCATGACGACTTATCTGGTGAGCGACGGCATCGAGAGGTACGACTGTCTCAACCGTCTGGCCTGCCTCGACGACCACAAAGCCCAGCAACTACTGACGGCGGCGATGATGATGATCAAGGGAGCCAAGTACCTAAGACCGTGAGTGTGGGAGTGTCTGGGGGAGAGTGTGGGGGAGAGTGTGGGGGAGTGTGAGGGGGAGTGAGGGAGAGTGTGGGGGAATATAATCTAAACTACTAACTGTATCCATTACAACGGCAACTACACCTATTATGAATTACTAATACAGCCATAACTTACATATAACTATTAATATTTCTGTTATCATCTCCTCATTCTAAATTAGATGACCAAAGTATCTCAATTTTTTCTGTACATTTCAAGTATTTATGTTGAAGTTTTAGCTGATCTCACAACTTGATAACCTCAACCATCACCCCTCCCCCGGCAGGTTCATGGGCTTCTCGCTGCAGAAGTACGAGCAGGTGGCCATGGGCGTGGAGGAAGCTATCTACTACAGGCGTGAGGGAGGCTCCTGCCGCGCCCGCTACCAGTGCCAGGCCATACCCAGCCTCTAAGCCACGCCCATGGCTGACAACCCACGCCGAGGACTGATTTTACACGTCCATGTTTAATATCATACCCCGACTTTTGGTACCACACGCTCTCGTCTGATACCACACGCCCACGTCTGATACCACACGCCCACGTCTGACGTTACGCGTCAACGGCTATGAACAATTATTGTTTTCTTGAAAAACAATAACTGGTCAATCACCTACAGTATTAAGAGAGGATTAGCTAATCCTCTCAACCTTTTAGCTTTAATACTTTATTCAACATAAACTAACTACCTAAACCACAATGAGAACGGAACCTTCTTTAACACAGTATTTCTCATTTTCTTCATTTAAAAATTCTCCATTTTATCACAATTATTCATCTATCACATCAATATTTCCAATTGTTACCTCCACGTTACCATGACATCTCAAGTGTATATATGATGTACAAAACCTATATGAGTATTATACGTGTCGCATAACTTAATGTTGGGTCAAGTAAAATGTATTGTGTGTTAAGTTTGTGTTGTTGATATTGTTATTGGATTTTATTATTATTATTATTTTATTATTGTTATTACAATATAAAACAATAATTTCTACCATTATCTCTCGTCAACACAAATGCCAACGGTGTATTTTTTCCTAGTATTGTCGTAGCCGTGTATACTGAGGTTACCCTTGCACCAACAACTACTTCACTTCTTTATTTTTTATTAATGGCGTTTGAGCTACACTTTACTGAATTTATTAATGTTATTTATTTTGTATATAAGAATATTTTTATTTTACTGTCACTTAATAAAATATATAAGCTGGTATATATATGGGATTTCATAACCTTTCTGTACCTCTCCGCACCATGAACTAAAAGGCTATAGTTAAACATACACTGAGATGAATATAAGGCTACTCACTCATCTCCATATAGGAACTTGACCTTTACAGCACCAGGGAAGATTTTTATTCATGCCCGGTGTGAATATTCTGGTCGCAGCTCCCCCTGTGTATAAAAGGAAGTCATATGCTTAGGAGAGGATCAAACACCATTATTTATTTTTAAACACTGTGTACTGGCGCGCACACACACACACACACACACACACACACACACACGCACACACACACACACACACACACACACCAACAAAATTACAACTAAGGATAATATAAAACCAATTCGGTAATATATATAAAAAATACAGTAAAGTTAATAAACAAATACAATTATCTGAAATATTTAGTATTTTTTATGAAACAAAAAATAACAGAACTTAGAATACCTACTTAAGAACAACTATTACTTATCCATCGTACTTACACACACACACACACAACTTATAATACTTAAACGATCAATGTACTTACACTTTTTAGTCAAATTCGATATAATTTTGTCACAACAGTAATTAAAGTTTTATTATTGAGCTCAAGAACTGAAGAAATTTTGTAATATAAGGTAAATCATAATACAGTACTGAAATCCCACTGAAGGGGATATTACTGTATTTTATCATTTATTACAGTTGGATTTCAGTTGAGAGTTACATCAATCTTGTAATGTTTTGTTCACGAGCCGCCAGAGAGAGAGAGAGAGAGTTGAAGGTCACTCAGTTATGTGTTATAGGTGACACAAACAGGTTCAGTGAGATGAGTTTTATATGGGAGAGGGAAGTTGTGGTCAGTGAGGGAAGGTGACTGATAGTGAGGGAAGGTGACTGATAGTGAGGGAAGGTGACTGATAGTGAGGGAAGGTAACTGCTAGTGAGGGAAGGTGACTGCTAGTGAGGGAAGGTGACTGCTAGTGAGGGAAGGTGACTGCTAGTGAGGGAAGGTGACAGATGAGGGAAGGTGACTAGTGAGGGAAGGTGACTGCTAGTGAGGGAAGGTGACTGCTGAGGGAAGGTGACTGACTGACAGTGAGGGAAGGTGACGATGAAGGTGACGAGGGAAGGTGACTGAGTGAGGGAGGTGAAGGTGAAGGTGACTGATGGTGAGGGAAGGTGATGATAGTGAGAGGTGACTGATAGTGAAGGTAGTGAGGGAAGGTGACTGCTGAGGAAGGTGAATGATAGTGAGGGAAGGTGACTGATAGTGAGGGAGGTGACTGATAGTGAGGAAGGTGACTGATAGTGAGGGAAGGTGACTGCTGAGTGAGGGAAGGTGACTGATAGTGAGGAAGGTGACTGCTGATGGTGAGGGAAGGTGACTGACTGATAGGTGACTGAGGTGAAGGTGACTGCTAGTGAGGAAGGTGACTGATAGTGAGGGAAGGTGACTGTGACTGAAGGTGACTGAAGGTGACTGCTAGGTGACTGATAGTGATGGAAGGTGACTGCTAGTGAGGGAAGGTGACTGATAGTGAGGGAAGGTGACTGCTAGGTGACTGCTAGTGAGGGAAGGTGACTGATAGTGAGGGAAGGTGACTGCTAGTGAGGGAAGGTGACTGCTAGTGAGGGAAGGTGACTGCTAGTGAGGGAAGGTGACTGCTAGTGAAGGAAGGTGACTGCTAGTGAGGGAAGGTGACTGATAGTGAGGGAAGGTGACTGCTAGTGAAGGAAGGTGACTGCTAGTGAGGGAAGGTGACTGATAGTGAGGGAAGGTGACTGCTAGTGAGGGAAGGTGACTGCTAGTGATGGCTTTATCCTAATACAATAACCACTAGTCCTCGGGTCTATTATGTCTACTAGCTCCATCCTTACAATATAACCAATAGGACTCGGTTCCATTATTACCGAGTCCCCTTAAGACAGAAGCCCATTGCAATTAAGGCATTCATAGAGCTAACCAAAGCAGTTAGGTAAATGGTTCAGCAGGACGGAGGTATGGGTTGAAGTTAGACATCTTCAGCAGACATAGAGCTACACAACGCAGGGAGGAAGTGAGATGAGAGACAGGGAAGTATGAGTGAAAGATCCTCTCCTCCCTCACTGGGTTGAAGAAGTCAATGATGGTAATGATGATGATGATGATGATGGTAATTATAATGGTGGTGAAAGTCACATACAAAAGAGCCGGAAGCGCGCACACACACACACACACACACACACACACACACACACACACACCTCTCGGATATGATCACTCCAAGGGCTGCCTCCACTCCACCTTCGGGGTTCCGGAATTTCTGTAGGCTAGGTTAGGTTAGGTTAGGTTCCATTATGTCATTTGCCTTCAAGATAAAAACACATTAATGCTAATCTAACTTGACATAGCTTGACTTTTAACCTAACACAACCTAACTTGGCGTAACTTATTGTAATCTAACCAAACTTTACCAAACTTATCCTGACTAAACATTATCTAACCAAACCAAACAAACTTAACCTAACCAAACCAAAACTAACCTAAAGTATCCTAACCTAACCCTCCCAGGTAGCGAGCGATAGGGGTGTTTAATCATCAGGTGACATAAGCAGGGATGCTAATCTTCAGGTAATGCCATCAGTTTTGTATTTCAGGTAAACACAAACCTCTGGACATCTACGGTGATGGAGTAACCCGACAGCAAAATACCACTGCTGTGTTTATGGGCGATGCATTGTGGGTAAAACAAGACTAACTTCAGAAGACGATGTAAACAAAAGCAATTTATACTCCCTTAATCCAAAAAAATTTCCATAACTCACACTGGTATAATGACAACTTCTAAATTCATCAAATCCTCCCATAATGCACCACTTCTCGTATTTGTTTACAGGTGTGACGTTACTGTTGGGTAGTCCATGACGTTACTGGTAGAATGGTATTATTGAAACATTATCCCTAATGAAAACAACATCATTTTCTTTAAGGGAAATCTGACAGACGATCGAAAAGAAACTACCAACAAAATTAAGGAAAGCAGTATTTATCTTTCCCAGGTCTATGCACTGAGTCACATTATGTACACATAGCTTGAATGAATCCCGCGGGAAAGTAAAGGAACAGAATGACTTAGCTTTCACATCTTCTCTGGTTTGACGTGAATGAAAACTGGAAGAATTATGGAGTCCGGGAAAAGTAGGAGAAAGGGGATGTGTTTGTCTTACTTCCGGCCCCCCTATAGCAAGAGTTGTTACTGACGGCAATAACAATGAGAACCACACGGGCTGATGGGGTGTGTGTGTGTGTGTGGGTGTGTGTGTGTGGTCAGAATCGGTCATAAGGCAATGTCAAGGTCACCAGAGAGAGAGAGAGAGAGAGACCAGCAGCACCACTATAGGGATCTTGATGAGAGAATAACGCGTTGACAAAGGAAAAACAAGTGAAGATCGACGACTGTGTGAGATATAAACATTACCTTGTGGTCACGTTCTACTGGCGTTACACAGTGTCGTCCCCCTGACCCCCATTCCGGACATGTAAACAAGACGACGGACACGCCCTGGACTAATACAATAACCTACAGTAACTCAGAGAGAAAATACAGTCGACTACTCTTTCCCTTCTCTCTCCCTCCCTCTTCCCTGATCTTTTCCCTCCCTCTCTCCTCGCCCTCTCCCTCCCTCTCTCCTCGCCCCCTCCCTGCCTCCCTCTCTCCTACATAACACCGGCAACTTTCATGTCTTCCTACAAAGTCATTCTTGTTTATGGGGTGCCGGTGTTTTCAGGGCTGTCAGTTTGTGTGTGTGTGTGTGCTGCGAAGGTGTAGTAGTGATGGATATGGTAGTGGTGGTGGTGGATATGGTAGTGGTGGTGGTGGATATGGTAGTGGTGGTGGTGGATATGGTAGTGGTGGTGAATATGGTCGTGGTGGTGGTGGATATGGTAGTGGTGGTGTAGGATATGGTAGTGGTGGTGGTGGATATGGTAGTGGTGGTGGTGGATATGGTAGTGGTGGTGAATATGGTAGTAGTGGTAGTGGATGTGGTGAATATGGTAGTAGTTGTGGTGGATAAGGTAGCGGTGGCGATAATATTGGTGTCGGATATTGTTATCATAAAAATTTTAATAGAAAGAGTATTGTTTATTGCGTTCTTGTAGTAAAAAATATCTAATCCGTACTTATAGTGTCGTTTAACATGAAGGTTGTGCCATTAAGCTGCAGGATCTCGTCGTGTCGTTTGAACTAAGGCAACGACAACCTTAATGACTGTACTATATGTTGTGTTCGTGAACCAGGTCGGTGTGGAGAAAAGCCTTACCGGAGTGAACCAAGTCACTCATTTTAATGGCTGCCGTCCACTGGGTAATGAGGAGGAAGAGGAAGAGGAGGGAGGCTGGTGGGGAGACGTAGATAGATAGATATAGATAAATAGATAAGATAGATAAGATAGATAGATAGACAGATAAGATGGATAGATATTCACCAAAATCATCATACAAGTATACATTGATTCAGCATGAATATAGACAACGCTGGTATACAATATAATACAGATGCCTGCCAAAGATATATATAGTCGTATAATATATGTGTTACGTGTTATAATTAATCCAACAGATGTGTCGCAGATTTGGTAACAGACCTCAGCCAAACTACAACTGTGTGAGGTGATGTTCCGGTCTGTTAAACTAATTTTACCACAGACAATGGTGATGCTAAGCTGTTACTTGTGTATTAAGTCCGTACGTGAAATATTATAGTTCTAAAAAATCCTCAAGACGAGTATTATTTGAAGAGTATTATATAATATATAAGACAATCAAATTACACTCTCCGCTTCGTTCCAAATCGTCGCCAACAAACAATATTATCAAATAAGAATCATATTTTCACACAACCTGACAACTGTAGACATCTTAAAATAAATATGTCAATAAAAGATATATAGAGTCGATAGTAGTAACAAATAATGAAAAAAAAGAGAAAAAATGCAGGTAGTGTATCCAATTCTGGCTGAGACACATTGCCTAGCTCTAATTCCTCGGTAATGACGCTGCAGGAACGTTGATGCCGCGCGCTGCACTTGTTGAGTATTCCCGGAAGTGATTGTTGTAGTTTATTTCACCTGAAAATTAACCACCCTAATGCTACTTGTGTTAAGTTAGCGTTAGTTTAGGTTAACGTTAGGTTAGGTTAGCATTAGGTTAGGTTAGCGTTAGGTTAAGTTAGCAATAGGTTAGATTAGCGTTAGGATGGTTAATATACAGGTGAAATAAACTGGCAAGCTAATTTTCAGCTAATCCGTTACTTCAATTACTGTGAATCTTAAACGCCACCATTTACCTTTTTTGTCAAAGCTAATAACTAAGTACATCCGGGCTGTACATACAACAGTAGTAAAACTTGACTAGTCAGGTAAAAATGTCAAAACTATCATTCTTACCTCCACCGTGAAATGACAGATTATTTAGATCCACTTGGTGAAATATTTGGTGTCGTTTTTTAGTTTCATCATCTGGCTTAGGTGAAGTTAATAGCAGGAACATACGAAACTTATTACATACTGTACGTCTTATATGCGTTCAAAATGATTATAAGTGTTTTACTATATAGAGTTTTAACCATGCAATATATACTGTATAGAGTTTTAACCCTGCAATATATACTGTATAGAGTTTTAACCGTGCAATATAGCAATCATTAAGAGGGCTTTATTTCATATAGTTTTGACCAGGTAAAGAAGTCGACATAATAGTTCCTTTTGATTAGCGGTGACTTTCTCAAATTATTAAATTCAATATACAGATCAACAGACCAACGGACCTTCCAACAGACAGTAGGTAACAGTATAGTATATACTTGTATATACTGTACTCCCACAGTGCCCCACGGTAAGAACATAATCAAGATAAATACTGTACAAACAAGGATGTGTGAGAGAGATGGCCAACCAACCTACTTTTTTGCCGAGCCACTCACTAAAGAGCTTTGTTTGGGAAGGTCTGTGTCACCCTCACATACGTAGAGTCGTGTGTGTGTGTCCAGGAGCATGTACACCACAACACACAGCTCTTATCATTCTCCCTATCATTTGAGTTAAGGTATATAGGTTATTGGGCTAAAATTAGTTAATGTGGTTAGGTTAGTTAGGTCAGGATCGTCTTAGTGTGGGGATTAATATAGTGACTGACCCGACTGTAGCTACAATAAGCCTTCAGCAGTATAAGACCGTGTGTGATTATTGGTCCATTAATTATACCCCGGCACCTCCTATATATCATCATTAATAATTATAGTACATCCAGGATAATGATAGACGTATTAGGTTACCTTATCTACTACGTTCAGTCTGTCTTCTAACACCATCAACAAAACCACCGACTGTTATCTTATTAAACAAATTGATGTATAGACAAGACATTGAATTTATGCTTTGTGATTAAATACAGTTCAGAGGACGTAAATATTTATTGAAAAGGTAAGAGTCTTAACGTGCAATCAAGATTCATGGACACAGAAACTACCATGGACCTTTACTTTACTTTACTTTACTTTACTTTATAATCTTCGCCACAGATCGGCCTGTTAGCCACTTACACACTGTTGGCAAGTACTGGATATGTACTGTTCTGGCTCTAGAATGTATCTGTTGGTCAAGGCTGGTCTTGAATGAGCTAACACTCGGTGCCGTTACGAATTATTAATGTGAATTTCATTTTAGTGGATATATATGCATGCTGGTAAGAGTGGGTTAGGTGGGGAGCGTATTTGAATTAGGAAGAACACAACTTGCGCTCTTTATAATTGGTGTCGTAAGTGGCAGATAGTGGCAGACACCACACAGATGGAAGTGTCGAAGGTGTTAGTGTAAAGTGGCAGGTATCGTGTGGGAGGGGTGGCAAGTGAGGTGGTAGAAGTGTGGCTGTGGGCGGTGTCTTGCAGGTATGTAGGTCAACACTATGTAATGTTACAATAGTTGCCGCCACTTGTACTAATACCTCTATACCCTCTGCTATACTGGCCTATTTTGTCTGGTCCACTGATAAATGATATTATTATACTAATGTGTACACTCACCACCTCTTGTCGCTCATCTCTAACACAAACACACAATTTTGTCAGTGCACCTCGCGGAACTAAGCGACAATTTCTTCAATATATGGTAAGTGATATTTTGCAGGCCATATAATATGTAACGTCACAAGTAATGCCTTAGTAAGGTAAAATAACATGTGACTGATTGATTCGCTAACCAGTGAGAGAATGATTCCAGGTCAAAATCAAAAACAATTAAGTGAATGTTGTCATAAAATAATATAGAAGAATGAAAATATATTCTAACTGATTATATTATGAATAATATTTGATATCTTACACTGAATTATTACTGCAAGTGTAATATATAATGAATTCACGTTAAAACTTAACCAGTTGTGAACGCTTAACGCTGGCCGGTTGTGTTTGTAAACAAGCCGAGCAGCTCCTGTCTCGTGTTCCCATCTAAGGTGTGTGGAATTTAACATAAAAACTTTAAATAATTAGCTCTTTAAAAAGTTTATTTTATCAGGGATGAGACTTCAAAAACTACGGCGGATTATGAAGTATATGAATATAATACACTTGGTATACTGTTGTGAACCTGTATGGAAGTTGATTGCTGAACTAAAGCTACTCATTATTTAAGATACCATATTATATTATTACTATAGTTGTCACCTGTTATAGTACAGGGTGACTGAGAAATATGGATACACACTGTATTAGAGATTTTTTTCCTCAATTGTGGACTTAGCAGAGTGTTGTGACAGCACCAGTGACCTCATTCAAGACCAGACATGACCAACACTGATACATTCTAGAGCCAGCATTTGTCAATAGTGTGCAATAGAGACGTGACCGACCGCCCAAGCGGCTAACAGGGCGATTAGTGGCGAAAAATTTAAAGTAAAATAAAGTATAGTGTGTGGTCTCCCTCAAGTGAGGACAATGTTGCTGATGTAATACAAGCACTCCCATCGTCAGCCCATCTCCACGAAAATCTGAAAGGCAGTGTGTATACATTTCTTCTGAGATGCCCTGTATGTTGGTGTTGTTGGAGAATTATTAAATATACAGTTGTTGATCTCCAGCAGCTGCCCCACCACCACCAGCTGGCCTTGTCACCAACAATATGGATCCTGATGAAAAATTCGCAAGACAACTCCAAGCTGAGGTAAATGATCCCCCAAAGTGAGAAGCGTAACTAATACTAACTGGCCACTGTGCTATGATTGGCTAATCGTCCATTACTGGGGAACAGTGCGAGAACAATATTTGACTGTGACTGGCGGCATTTGGCAGTTATTTAGCCGAGTCGATCGTTGTGTAGCTGTAAGCATATATAACCATATTGCTGTTGTGCATGGAAACTTATTATAAAAGAGGCAACATTTACCAGAACCTAATAGAGTCTGACCTAACCAACCAAAGAATCTTACCTAATGTATTTAGTCAAATCAAAGCGCACTCACAGTAAAATAATGTTAGTAGGAACTTAGCCGGTCACGGCTAAATATCCACTACGTATGTTTTATGTGATTTAACCTCGTCTGCCCGATACTGATCAATGTCCTTCACAAGGTATCTTTGTGTACGAGACTAATGTAAAGATATTGGGTGCTACTATAGTGTGCAATCTACAAGATATTTAGGTCAGGTTAGGTTAGATTAAATTAGGTTAGGTAAAGTTAGGTTAGGTCAGGTTTGGTTAGGTTAGGTTAGATTTGGTTAGGTTAGGTTAGATTTGGTTAGGTTATGTTAGACTAAAGATATCTTTGTAGACTGTATGCTATAGTAGCACCATATTTTATCTTTTGCCTCAGACACACACATTTATGTACAATTACACTATTACTATTTCAGTTTGACGCAGAAAACAAAGCTGCAGAAGCACTGGAGCAGCAAGATGCAAAATTTGCTCAGAGCATCGCCTCTAAGTTCCACGAAATGTCCGAGACTGATGATGATGATGAGGAGGAGGAGGAGGAGCAGGAGGAGGAGGAGGAGGCCAGTAGTCGCAGTGGTGGAGCAGGACAAGTGTTACAGTGTGGCAATACAGCAACACAAGCAAGTAAAAATTATTCTGAAGCATCTCCCAGCTGTCATAAAGATGGTACAGTGGAAAAATGTTCTTGTCCTAATATATTTACCTTTTTATATGCACATTAATGTTAAAGCAAAAGCCAATCACCAGTCACAGTTCAGCCAATCATTGCATGAAAGGTCCTATCACTACACACTACCCAACCTAACCTAATCTAACCCAGTATAGTCTAACCCTGTAGATTTGATGGGGTAAATACAAGAGTTACTTAGACCATTTGTAAGGTTAGAAATTAACCCGCCCTGTGGGTCCCTCAAGCTGCTGTGTTTGGGAGATCAAAAGGTCAAGGTCACAGTTCTGGAGAAAAAGAATCACCAAGTACTGTACTGTATAACTTGACAACTAACGGACTTGAATGGATTCTATTAAAAATATAAATAAAATAAAATGATCTATGGTGTATAATATTTAATTCACTTGATCTGCCCTCACATGAAACATTGTACCCCAGGTGTTACCAACTCCCCCAAAACCCCACCAAAGAAACGACCTCCTTGTGAATATGGATCTTCTTGTTACCGAAAAAACCCATTGCACTTGAAGGAGTTTTATCACCCCCCCCTGGAGGGTGGTGAAAAGGAGACAGTACACAAGAGAAACAAAGGTAATTCTTATTCAGAATTGTTAAAGGTCTTCTAGGTCACCTGTGTCTTAATATGCTCAAGAAAGAAGAAAAAACCACCTTGGCATACACTAGACTGGATCCGAGTCCTTAAAAATTTACTAAAATTTATTTATTGGGTCTATCAGTGCCTGGGTTTGGTTTAAAACATACACCAACCTTCCAAGCAGGAGTACAAGCTGTCACACCTCTCTTGGGTAGTGTGTGAGTTAGAGCAGATTCAGGTGATGTTACCATTATATTTACTTTTTGGTGTTGTCAGTGTTATAAAAAAGTCATGTGGTAACAAATACATGCAAAAAGTATCAGTGCCAAAAAATAGTGCTTGAAATAAGAAATTAGTTAAAACATACAGTTTGGCAGGTAATCTTTGATAACCTCAGGGAGTAGTGACCCTCTCTAGCCAGCTAAGAGAGTGCTTAGAAGTTCCAGTTCTGTACAAGTAGGTTGGCAATAAATATTTGCTTCAAAATTGCCTGATAGCAACTAGGACACCATACCATCAGGTAACCCACACCAGCATGGAAAATGGCCTTAAAATGGTTGTAATGATGATATTCCCACTTGATATTATGTACAATATTGACATTTGATCAGCATAAATATGTGACTTTTCATTTCTTTCATCTGAACATTGTATCGGTATAAATAATTGTTGTTTCATATCTAATTTGTAGAATGTACTCCTGGCACTGCTGGACCACCAAAGAAAAGGTTAAAAGAATCTGTACCTGTTGGCACATCTCAAAAGATAAGCAGGTACAGTACAGTACAGCTAATACTAATTGGTGTACCGGAGTCTGTTTCTGTTTTCATAAATACTTAAGAGATTACAAAAATCCTTTGTCTTATCTTACAGATTTTAATCGACTCATCCATAATATGATGCCTTATTTTATTATTTATGTTTATGCTGTCACTATATGTACAAGAAATAAAATAAATTAGATTAATATTAATATGATAATAATGGAATATTTTATTGTTGCAGTTCCAAGTTGCCATTTCCAGCACGTTTGTCTGCCAGTGAGCCTTTTAATTTCTTCCTCAACAAGACCTTCAGCATAAAGGAGACTCAGGAAGACCCATTGGCTCTAGTGTTTCCAGATCTCCTCAACCCACAGCTTGGAGAGCTTGTAGAGTCCGCTCAGGTGCTCCTTCTAGTTAACAACCATTACAATTAATGGAGGTTGATTGGTTGCAGGTTGTTAAGTGCTAAATCACGTCCATTATTCTCTTTTCAGCGCTGTAAGAGTTTTCACTTGTGTACATCAATGCAAAAGAAAAACTTGCGGTGAATTTGTCAATGTGGTCTTGTGGCTCTTGTAGCAACCAGCATCCAATCCTCTTCTGTCTAGTGAAGAAATTGTTAAAAATCTGTCTTCAAAAAGGGGAAGACCTCAGTGTGGGACTTCATTCTCTGCCTGTATACCAGTACTGTACCTTTGAACTGTGGAGGAAAGATACTGTATGATTTATTCTTGTTACCATCTAATTAAACAGTTGGCCTTCAGGGTACACATCAGTGGTCACAAGTTACAGGTCTTTGTCCCTTTTTGGTGTATAATTTCCTGCTTGTGGTCATGGGTTGAGGTTTTTATTTTTATTTTTTTGCATGAATTAACATTTCATTTGGTGAGAAGATTCGTAAGGCTTCCCGTACATCTTTGGAACGTAACCAAGAGTACAGTATATGCAACTAAAAGCCTTTGTTTACAGCTAAACTTCATGGTTGATCTTGAATTCCTAATGGAGAACTATAAGGCCGGACAAGCACACACAAAACCCCTGCTGGTGATGTATGGAGAGATGGAGGGCGACCCTAAGGCCCATTCCTCCGTTGTGTGTAATAAGGTCTGTTCCTTTGGCCAGACTGCCATGTTATTTTTGTCGTTTCTTCTTTGACGGTTAGATGTTGATGAGATTACTAGTAAAGAATCCCTTCAATATTTTGGTTACTTTAAATAATTTAGAACACTGGATTAGTAATTGATATTAAATGTTACTACAGTACAGTATTTATGATATCGTAGATTACTGACCATCTCAAACAACCCACAACTATACACACTGCCTTTGAAAATAAAGACTCCCTAACCTTGCCTTCTCTAAATGTTGGAAGTTAAGCGCTGGTATTACCCACAGGTCAAGATATCATTTCAATACGGGACTCACCACACCAAGATCATGCTATTTCAATACAAGACTGGCTGTCGAGTTGTTGTTCACACGGCCAACCTCGTCCCTGATGACTGGTACGAGAAGACTCAGGGGTATTGGGTGTCACCTGTCTTTCCTGAGCTTGGTGAGGCACATCTCTTAACCTGTCTGTCTGTCTCTCATTATTGTACAGTCAGAGAAAAAGGTCCTGTCAGTCCTCCATCCCATCCATGAATCCTGAGACTCATGAACCTGTGAATCCAAGACACCACACATTGTTGGGTCCATAGATCATGCACTGTGTGAGGTCTCAGATTCACAGGTTCATGGAGGACTGACAGGACCCTTTTCTCTGACTGTACCTGATGATAGAAATTAATTCTCCTGTAGTTTGCCTTTGAATTATGTTTATCAAGAGGTACAGTACAGTAGTACCTTTACAGGGATATTTAACTAAATTATATTATGGTAAGATAAATATACTATAATCAAGGGACATTAGTACAGTTAATTACCAAAATCATAACTCTGTATTCCCAGATACCTAATAAACATATTCTGGAATGACCATAGTGAGATTCTGAATGAAATGAAGCTTCATATATTTAAGACAAACAATAAGGAATTTTGTTTTTAAAATTTTAATCATTCTGGAATAAAAAAATAATATGTAAAGCTCATTTAATATATCCAGACTAACAGAAAAAAAATGTGAAATGATATCTTCCCAAACTAACAGATGCATATAATTAATGACAGTTTATTATCAAATTTTAGTCCCTCTTACTCTTGTCTTTCCCCAGAGAACGGAAGAGAGAGCCTCCTAGATGGAGAGTCGCCCACTCGCTTCAAACGCGACTTGGTGGATTACCTCTTGGCATACAAAGTTCCAGACCTCACACGATGGGCAAACCTCGTCAAGAAATATGACTTCAGTAACTGCAAGTGAGTGAGTCGGTCCATTGAATTTCAAAATGAACACCGCAACTCTTATTGTCTTGGTAGGGTTGAAAAAATCCTTCGTCTGTTGTGTCATATTGTCTCTCACAAAACCATAAGATACTTTTTGGAGCATGTATATGCATTATGACAAGATGCAAGAAAAGTTCCAATAATCAGAAATTTCCTCCTATAATTGATGAAGGTTTAGTTTGTAGAAAAGTTTGGCCACATTGAGTAGCAAACACTTATGATATTCCTTCAAGTAGAGTGAATTACAGTACAGTGTTTTTTTTTGAGCAGTCAGTATAAGAGGTGAAAGTATTTTTTAGTGGAATGATGTGTTTATGGTGTACCTTAGATGTTTATGGTGTAGCTTAGATGTTTATGGTGTAGCTTAGATGTTTATGGTGTAGCTTAAATGTTTGTGGTGTAGGTAGATGTTTATGGTGTAGCTTAAATGTTTGTGGTGTAGGTAGATGTTTGAATTCCCACAGGTCAAAAAAGATACTCGACATACCTGTAAGTCACATCACTTGACATATATTTTGATGATGATAATAGTGATTTAGATGATGATGATTTACCAGTAGATGATGATGTATTCCAGGGAAGAACGTCTCATGAAATTTATCCAATGTTTCTTTCAGTGCGGTGTTTGTTGGTAGTGTTCCGGGCTACCACAGGGGGGAGAGCAAGGACCGGTGGGGACACATGAAAGTTCGTCGGGTGATGAAACAACACGCAAGTTCCTGGAAGTCGTCTCTGCCAATCCTTTTCCAGTGTTCCTCAATAGGTAGAGTATTTTTTTTTTAAGAATTTCTGTGCAAAAGGTAGATTTTTATCATACCTGTCACATGTTTGAATCATTCAGTTTACTCAGACTATACAAAAAGAAATCAACATAACTTTGTAGTATCAGTAGCTTATTGTTTTATAATGGACATAGTGGATTGGGTGACTCAGGGACTCTCAACTAGCTTGTCTGACCATAAATACTGTACAGTACACCCAAATATCAGCATTAAACTAACTCCTATGACTGGTAATCAGACCCACTTGACAGGATGTAATATATAAAAATGATAATGGTGGTGATTACAGGCTCCTTGGGGAAGGATGCCAGGTCTTGGATGTCTGGAGAACTTGGCATGAGTCTTACTGGTGTACCAGGAGTGTGTGCCAGTGCCCCCATGGTGAGTAACAATACAGTACAGTTATGAACAAAAGTCTTGTCTCCTCTTCTGAACTCTAAGAACTTCGAGACTTCAGACTCATGAATCTGAAGCATCTATGGATGGAATGATGCATCAATGTGTACTGCTTCAGGTTTATGAGTCTGAATCTCAGTGTTCATGGAGCCGCAGAAGAGGTGACAAGACTACTGTTCACGACTGAACATGGAAGTCTTTACAGTAATGAAAATTAAGTTTATAAATCAGTTTATCAATGTAAGTATCAATGTCTCTCTTATTGTGAATTTTACTTGCATGGGTAATAATTTTTATGCATAACATAACTTCCCAAGTATGACAACTAATGTATGAATCAAATATGGTTTCTAAGTGAGACTTTTCCTTCCTCAGGTAAATCTAGTTTATCCAAGTGAGGATGACATCTGTAACAGTAGCCAGGGGTGGATGGGAGGGTCATGTCTTCCCTATAACTCAGCAACGCATGAGAAACAACCGTGGCTAATGCAGCATTTACAGTCAGTGTTTCTTGATACCAATTTGTTGTTTGTGTATTATTACCAGTTAGACATGTTACGATAAGATGAAAGGGCATAACATTTTCTAAATTTTCTTAATACAGTACTATACTCTTAGTCATATCATTTATGCTTGTTAAGTAGAATTTGATTTCACCTGATGGTTAAATACCCTAATGGTAAAAGGGGGGGGGGGTTAGGTTAGATTATGATTGACTAGGTTAGCATTAGGGTGTTTAATCTTCATGATATCCATTTCCTCAGATAATTATGTTATTTTCAGTCTCTGGCGAAGTGACAAGAGACATCGGACAAAGGCGATGCCACACATTAAATGCTACACTCGTGTAAACATGAACTGTTCAGCAGCGCAGTTCTTCCTCCTGACCTCCGCCAACCTGTCAAAGGCAGCTTGGGGTACACTACAGATTCAGAACTCCCAGTTATTTATCAGATCTTATGAGGCTGGAGTCCTTCTTTTGCCCAAGTTTGTGGTAAGTTGTGTTTGTTTTCTTGTTGTAGATGTTTAAATTGCCTGGGTTGATTGTACCATGAAATACTCTTGTAAAAACTTAACATAAAAAACATTTGTCATGGATTTGTCATCAAGGCTTAGATAGGTTCATTATATTGCAAACTTGTATCTTTTAACGTGATCCGTTTCTGATATTCAGCGAGGCCTCTTCAATTTACAGAACGACAACACTGAATTTGAGTTGGGGTCTCCAAGCAGTCCATCTTGTTTGTCTCTGCCTTATGATGTGCCACTGAGACCCTACCCTGATGGGGCGACTCCCTGGTTTATGAACACGCGCAAGAAACGATCCGATATCTTTGGCCGTACATACCCCTAATAAATTTTAATGCTGTACTACAGTGAATGTATTTTTTACTTATCATTTCATTATTTGTATAATCAGAAAACATATATTGTATGCTTTCACTTTTTGTAAGGATAATGTTCATGAAAAAACCATGAATCCAATTCAAAGGAAAAAAAAAATTTAATGTACTATGTTCATAATTTTAATATTTTATGGACTCCAAATTTCCACTCAACATTCCACCTTAACTATCTGCTTACTGTATTGTAAAGAATAACAAATACTATTATAAACTTCTACCTCCTGTAACTCATTCATAATATCACTTTGTTATTATTGGTACCAAACTTCCTCTCTGTACCCAGGTGCCAGCATAGCAGGTATTAATGGTGATGCTCGGAGGTACAGTACACTAAGAGATGAGTGCGGTTCTACAGAGGCGGTGATACACAATACAGATACAGACGTTATGGTGGGGGTGTTCACGAGTACTGCTGGAACTAACTATCTGCCACACACCTCCCCATTGCTTGTTCCTAATCACCTCCCATTGTTTGTTCCTGTCGTTAAAAGATTATTATAATTTACGATATATTTTGTTTTTTCCCAGATATCATTCTTGATAGGATTTTGCCATGTCATTTATACAGCGTTTTTTAGTTAATCCATATCTCATGAGATCGGCAAAAAATTCAAACTATGGTCAAAATTAGTTTATTGTGATACATCAAAATTGTTAATTTACAGACCACACAAACTGAGGCTTAACTATACTGTATTACTCAACTACTGAAGTGTACTGGTTTTGTTATTTTAACCTTTATGTATTTAACCAGAAACTGCAAGTTTTATTTTATTTTTATATCATTTGAAGCATAAAGCATCATTCCTGTTCAAAGTGTGAATGAGATTGTTTAATACTACAGCTATAAGAGTACAGGTACAGTACAGTATAGTATAATATTTTTGTACACTATGAATCATTAGAATAGGTCCATCACATCATCAGAAGGTACAATGTAGTTTAACGCATCCTTCAGTCAGAGTCAAAATGGTTCGTGAAGATCTCATGTTTTGACCATTGGCATCTTTGCCGACCTTCCTGTACTGTACTGTATCTTATATAGAAAAGATTAAGTTTTGTTTAAAACCTTCTTACTGTCTCAACATTCCTCTCTTCTTGGTTCACATTACACATCGCTTATTACCTCACTTCTCATCTCCCTTCTTCCTTAACTTTCCTTCTTCCCTCACTTTTCTACTCCCTTCTTTCCTCACGTCTCACCTCCCCCCTTCTTGCCTTACCTCACGCACCCCTTACATCACTTTGCCTCACAGTCGTCCATGATTTACATGTCCAGGCATTCTACTTTTTATCTTTCTTCAAATTCATCTTTCATATTTTCTTTTTACGTCTTATATTTACGACTGTATTTATTTTTTCTCGCATATTTACTCTACTGTATTTACAAGTTTGTTTTACTTTAGGGAGTAATAGTGTTGGTGTTTATTGTGAATTGCAGTTTGTTGAAGACCTAAATATAAGCATTTTAATTAAGAATTTATTTTTGTTTAGTTTCTCCTTAAGTTTTTCTCGTTTTCTGTGTCAGTTTTACAGGTAAGGAATGAAGATAACAGGATGAACTCTGATATAATTAAAGATAACATGATCTGAGGTGAATTAAAATAACAATTCTCCCAGTGATCATATACAGTACTCCATATAAGTCAGCAGTTTGAATGACGTTACCAAGATAACCTAACTTTGATAACTAATATATGTGGCACCCTTTAAAGAGATTCTAATGTATATTTAATTATCTAAGTCACAAAAATCATATAGTACGTATTGTAAATCAAGAGAGAAACTTGATTAAACTTTACAATATATGGTGTTAGGATTTGACTGTTGTTAAGTGACTGAATGCCTTGTATATTGCTGTGAGACAAAAAGGAATACTGAATGTTGGTATTAGCTCTCTCTCTCTCTCTCTCTCTCATATCATCATCATCATCAAAAACTCACCAACTTACATCAAAACCTCGACCTTGACTCTAATGAATGAATAAAAAAAATAATTAAAAAATCACTCGCCCAAAACCAATCTTGTCTCAGTACCTTGAATGGGTAAACTCGTAGAGAAAATGAGTATTGAAGTGGAGTGTGTGTCTGTGTGTGGGGGGGGGCGGTGTCTGTCTGTCTGTGTGTGTGTGTGTGTGTGGGCGTGTCTGTGTGTGGGGATGTCTGTGTGTGTGTGTGTGGGCGTGTCTGTGTGTGGGGATGTCTGTGTGTGTGTGTGGGCGAGTCTGTGTGTGGGGATGTCTGTCTGTGTGTGTGGGAGTGTCTGTGTGTGGGGATGTGTGTGTGTGTATGTAATTTGAATATTCATAGTCATTAAAAACCACTTGTATAATTGTTTTCTCGCTATGTACATTGTCTTTGTTTGAAATGTAATCAACCTCACTGACCAAATTTTTTTCACTGGGTCATTTAACAATTTTGTGACCTCATTTGATCTTTTCCCTGGTGTTAGATTTGACCTTTTTCATAATGTAACCATTCGTGACATTATCTAACCATTCCTGAAGTCGTCTAACCATTCATGACGTCATCTAACCTTTCCTGACGTCAGCTAACCATTCATGACGTCATCTAACCTTTTCTGACGTCAGCTAACCATTCATGACGTCATCTAACCTTTCCTGACGTCAGCTAACCATTCATGACGTCATCTAATCATACCTGACATTTACTTATCATGTACTCATAAAAGATTAAGATTAATGCAAGGTTTGACGAGTAATTATAATAACCCTCATTAATGGATGAATACTGTAGGTGTTGTTGTTGTTGTTGGCGTAACAGGGGAGGAAAAGAGGATAGTGATGATGATGTTGTTGATGATGTTGTTGATGCTGCTGTTGTTGATGATGTTGTTGATGATGATGTTGTTGATGATGTTGTTGATGCTGCTGTTGTTGATGATGTTGTTGATGCTGCTGTTGTTGATGATGTTGTTGATGCTGCTGTTGTTGATGATGTTGTTGATGCTGCTGTTGTTTTGTTGCAGTGGAGGAGAAAACACACTCGAGGAAAGAGGTGTTGCCATGGTGAGGTACCTGGTAGTCCCCGCCGTGAGGTAAAGATGTACAGTATCATAAAGTTTCATAAAAGTTATTTATTTTTTGTGTACTATTATTACCTGTTGGGGCTCTCTCTCTCTCTCTCTCTCTCTCTCTCTCTCTCTCTCTCTCTCTCTCTCTCTCTCTCTCGGTTCAGTACATCCAGAATACAACACGTCCACTATTTCCTGACATTTATCTTAACCCGTCGTACAATAGTCATAATGGCGTAATAAGCGCCTTGGGTGTTACTCTCTCTCATCTCAGTGTTGTGTGGTGGGGAGGAGAGGATAACCCACATCCACACAACAGCCACCGAGTTTCGATAAGAGATTAGATAAGATTACTGTACTGTATACCTTCCGTCGTATCAGTGCCTTGGTGAGTATAAGTAGTGTTTATCTCTATATAATCAGCAGCACATATGTTCCCGAGGCCCCGTGAGTGTTCAGTTTATCCTCGGTTCATGGACGATGGTGTTGAGAGGAGCAGCAGCCTTGTTGTTGACAGTGTGCCTCCGTCTGGCTACACTGGACGCCGCCTGCCTCAACTCCCTCTTCTGTTACGATGACTTGTATCTTAATCGTGGCAGCTTCGTGATGCTGTACTCGAACCTGGAGAAGAGATCAGCTGTCACCTGTGCTGTTGTGTGTCTCCAACGGTGGCCAGAGACGAGTATAGTGATGGCCAAGCTGGTGGATGTTAACCAGCGTCTGGGGTGTGGCTGTGGTGACGACACGGCACTCAGTAACCACTCCGGGACAGTGCATGATTACTACGACTGTTATGTGTGTCCCGACGGTGACAACCAGAAGTGTGGGAGTGAGAGGACCACCAGTGTGTACCGGGTAGAGCACAACAGCGAGCTATGTGCCCGGGTACACTTCACACTGCCTGAGGTAATAAACTACACCACAACTACCATCACCGCACCAGAGCTTCCTTCCTTCACGACCCCAGCCAACGGGACACTGATGCTTCCCTCCACCAACACCACACACAACACCACCACCAGGCTACACAGAGTCATCACACACTCGGGGCCGCCTCAGCTGGTGTACACAGGCTGCTATAACGAGAACCACATCAACGAGTCCCTGGTGATGACTATGTTGGTGGAGCGTCCTGGCGCCAACATCACCCACTGTGCCAGAACCTGTGGCCTCGCTCACCCCTCCGCCGACCTCTACCTCGTGAAGCTCCTCAAACTTGATCGTCTCTACTGTGGGTGCGGGTGAGTGATGTATAGGGAGCGCGGTACTGTAGTAACACACTCCAAGAAGTATCTTTACGGAGGGGAGGTGGGGGAGGGGTTTCAAAATGAACACCGCGACTCCTGTTGTCTCGGTAAGGTGTCAAAATCCATCATACAGTGTGTTATGTTGTCTCACACAAACTCTTAATGATACTGTATGGCACCAGTTATGTAGGTAAAGTTACGGAAACAGGTATGTAGTGAGTATCTGTAGAAGTAAACAATAAGAGACACCTCACAACACGTCACCTAACCAACCATCGATTTCTTTGCCTCACAGGTGCACTAAACAAGAGACTTACACCTTTACGATACGCTTCAAGGGTCTTAATTATTATCTAAGGTTTATATACATTAATTTCCACCCCGTAACGGAAGACGAGGGAGGGTCACACAACTTCAGGGCCACAGTAACAAGACGAGGGAGGGTGACACAGCTTCAGGGCCACAGTAACAAGACGAGGGAGGGTGACACAGCTTCAAGACCACAGTAACAAGACGAGGGAGGGTGACACAGCTTCAGGGCCACAGTAACAAGACGAGGGAGGTGACACAGCTTCAGGGCCACAGTAACAAGACGAGGGAGGGTGACACAGCTTCAGGCCACAGTAACAAGACGAGGGAGGGTGACACAGCTTCAGGGCCACAGTAACAAGACGAGGGAGGGTGACACAGTTTCAGGGCCACAGTAACAAGACGAGGGAGGGTGACACAGCTTCAGGCCACAGTAACAAGACGAGGGAGGGTGACACAGCTTCAGGGCCACAGTAACAAGACGAGGGAGGGTGACACAGTCAGGGCCACAGTAACAAGACGAGGGAGGGTGACACAGTCAGGGCCACAGTAACAAGACGAGGGAGGGTGACACAGTGACACAGGGACCACAGTAACAAGACGAGGGAGGGTGACACAGCTTCAGGGCCACAGTAACAAGACGAGGGAGGGTGACACAGTTTCAGGGCCACAGTAACAAGACCACAGTACACAGCAGTTACAGTAACAAGACGAGGGAGGGTGACACAGCTTCAGGGCCACAGTAACAAGACGAGGGAGGGTGACACAGCTTCAGGGCCACAGTAACAAGACGAGGGAGGGTGACACAGCTTCACCACAGTAACAAGACGAGGGAGGGTGACACAGCTTCAGGGCCACAGTGCAATGTAAGACGAGGGAGGGTGACACAGCTTCAGGGCCACAGTAACAAGACGAGGGAGGGTGGACACAACTTCAGGGCCACAGTAACAAGACGAGGAGGGTGACACAGCTTCAGGACCACAGTAACAAGACGAGGGAGGGTGACACAGCTTCAGGACCACAGTAACAAGACGAGGAGGTGACATAAACTTCAGGGCTACAGTAACAAGACGAGGGAGGGTGACACAGCTTCAGGACCACAGTAACAAGACGAGGGAGGGTGACACAGCTTCAGGGCCACAGTAACAAGACTTCACACCTCCTCTCTCTGGCCTTCTGCAGGGTGACTTTAGCTCTGGGGAAGGACGCCGAGGAGGGTAACTGTGACTTATACTGCCAGGATGACTTCAAGCAATCCTGCGGCGGGTGGGTGTCCGTCAGCGCCTACACCAGGAGAACTAACGGTGGTGGTGGTCATGTGGCATCATACACCTCCTGCACCCCACTGATGACTCTCCTCTTCCTCCTGCTGGTGATGTGACCTCTCTCTCTCTCTCTCTCTCTCTCTCTCTCTCTCTCTCTCTCTCTCTCTCTCTCGTGTGTGTGTAAGATCCCTGTGAGCTGTGATTCTGAACCGAGCCAATAAAGAGCAATTTACGACGTTTTTCATTATATACACCAATAAAAACAATTTGCTGGATAATAGTAAAATAACGAAGAAGAGAATAATTAAAACAAAAAAAGAAATAAGTGAAAAATAATAAAATATGTAAAAATAAGTAACAATTAAGTTACGAAAATGTAAAATAAGTAAAAATGTGAAAAAAATAAATAAATAAAAAAATAATTAGTAAAATTAATGAAAAAATAAGATACGTAATGAGTAAAAATAAGTAACGAAAATATAAAATAAGTAAAAATATGAACAAATAAATAAAGTAAAGATACAAAAAAAAGGAACTGCATTTTTGACAACAAATGATTAATTAATTAACTTGACTCAAAATTTTCTTCATCATTATTAAGACTTTAGTTACAAGTTCTGGTGCTGCCTCATTATATTCATGGTGGTGGTGGTCATGTTAAAGAGGCCCCAGTCTTTATGGATTTCCTCAGTCTTATAGAAAGAAAGAAAGAGACAGACAGACAGGCGATATAGACAGACTCGTGTTGTCAGCAAAGAACAGATATCGCACAGAAGGGTATCGTAAACGCAAGGATAGGATATAAGAATTGCGATTTCAACGAGAGATCAGTTATCGTACGAGGGAAAAATCACAAGGACTAAGAGTTATCTTACTGAAAAATAATCTTAACGAGACAGACAGACAGAATAGCTATCGTTTGAAATAAAGATATTTGATAATTTTTCAACCACAAGATAATTGTTATTCCATGAAAAATATCGCAAATTGTAGGAAAAAGAAGAAAAGAAAAAGTATCGTACTCTGGAGGGAAGAATTATCGTACCTCAGTTAAGGACAGCGCGGCAGGCAGGGTAGGGGGGTCGGGGAGACAGCATCAGTCAGTCGACGCTGGACGCTCAACAAGTGTGTGTGCGTAGGTATATATGAGTGTGTGTGTGTGTGTGTGCCATCGAGGACTCCACATCTCCGTCACTCACCTACCGTACCCACGACCTCCTCCTTGCTAAGTCATGGCGCCGATACAACGAGTGACAAGTGATCAGTATCCCGCAATCGTGTATCTCTGAAGACAGATTCACTTACATTATAAAGTTATTTAGTGATGGAATTTGGCGACAGGTGTAGGTGATGGTCCCGGGTGGCTCACATTACTGTACTGTACACTGTGTCAGTATATCGTATCGGGAAAGGCCCCACTGACACATATTCAACAGTATAGTGATGTAGGACTGATGTGAACTCTGTCGTGTGAGATCTGATTAACACTGGCGACTGTGATTAATTAGAGGAAAAACACTAATGATCTTCACAGGGGAAAATGCTTGGGTGTGAATCATGTTGTAAATTAGTGGAGAACAAACAAGAGAAGTTATAATAATAATAATATAACAGGTGACCAATTAGACTGCTGAAGGTGTGAACATCGCCAGGTGTCAAGAACAACATCATGATGACAAAACTCCCCCACCACTACTAACATCCCCCCCCCTTCCTCCTCCACCAGTGTCTCCTCCCACTCATTCCACAAATTGAAGCCCTTCTATTGCCTGACTCGACCGCCAACTGTGATGTGACTTCCCACTCACCAACACCCAGAGACATATTCCCCCACTCACTCCCTCTTTCTCTCTCTCTCATCATTCTTCACCACCAACACGACCACTCTTCCTCCCTTCTCTTTAAGGATTCATTACCTGTTGATCCTCACCGTCCCCCGAGAACTACATAGTATCCTAGAGTTCCTGCCCGGGTCCTGCCACCAGTTGTAGGATACGTCACCTGTTGATCCACGTCCTCCTCGACCTACAGTATATCTGTTCCTCGACTAAAATCCTAAAGCGACCTTCCATTGCCGTCCTCGCCTCCACTCCTTCCCTCATCGCCCGATTTCAATCAGACGACCCCCCCCCCTCCTTCCCTCCTTGTCGCCCGGGGATGTGTGCTCCTCACGCTGAAGGGTGAGGAGCCTGTGATCTGCCCTGGAACCCTAGAAGTGATGTGCTCTCCTGTGGCCTCCGGAACACTAAAAGGCGTGTGTTCCACTGTGGGCCCCGGAACACTAGAGGGGGTGTGCTCCACTGTGGACCCCGGAACACTAAAAGGAATGTGTTCCACTGTGGGCCCTGGAACACTAGAAGATGTAGGCCCGGGAACACTAGAAGGAGTATGCTCTACTGTAGGCCCCGGAAAGCTAGAGGGGGTGTGCTCCTCTGTGGGCCCCGGAACACTAGAAGGAATGCGCTCGACGATGGGCCCGGGTTCTCTGGACGGGGGCGTGGGATCTCCCCGAACACCCACGGCAGGGACGGAGGTGAAGATGAGGCGGTTCACCCTCCCTAACCTCTTCCTCACCGTCGAGGGACAAGACAGGAAACTGGAGGAGATCTGTCCAGGTATCTACGAGTACACGGGTGAGTCCTGCCCAGGCTGAATGACCCCCTCAGAAAGTAGGTACTCATAATACTCACATCTGTCAACTCACACTAAATCACCTTAAATCACAATAACACACACTAACAAACATACATACATACATACATACATACACATCAATCATTTTACACACACACACACACACACACACACCGTTATTATCCACCACAACAGAAAACAAAACAAACGGACACAAACATTACCATCCCTCACCAACACAATGGTAACCCTGAATAAACAAAATTTGGCAACTCAAAATGGAAGGAATTACCAGTCAGTAAATGTTTGTGTGTGTGTTGGCGAGAGAGAGAGTGAGTGAGAGAGAGTGAGAATGAGTGTGTGTGAGAGAGCGAAATAGAGTATGAGTGCGTAAAAGAGAGAGAAAGTGAGAGTGATAGTGAGTAAAAAGAGATTGAAAGAGATAGAGAGATGAAAGGATGATGCCGAGAGAGAGAGAGAGCGAAAAATATAAAGAAAAAAGGAGAGATAAAGAGAAAGACAGATAAATAAAGAGACAAACAGACAGACAGACAGAGATAAACAGACAGACAGACAGAGATAAACAGACAGACAGACAGAGATAAACAGACAGACAGACAAACCCATACAAACGCAGTAAATCCAATAATCGCATCAACAACAAAAACATCTATATTAACAACCTCGCAATCTGTAGTTGAGAGGTTTAGCGATCAGTCAACACTACATCTATGTCTGTAATAAGGAATCACATCAAGATTAGCTCCCACCCCACCACCAAAAAAAAAAGCTAATTTGACCGGATGACTAAACACCCTATCGCTACCTAAGGGGTGGGAATTGGATAGATTGGGTTAGGTTAGGATAGGATTAATCCCCTATCCATAATAATCTATCGGGTTATGGTAGTAGTATAATTAATAATACTATACAATAATCGCTTTACGAGAATCGTTTATAGGGGCGTATTATATTCTCGGTCTCATAAACCAGTATAATTAGCCTCACCTGAGTGGCTATAATTGCAGGTGAGCAGAGGGTAATTATATAGGTGATTGGTCCTTGTCGCTGAGTTGTTATTATTAGTATTATTATTATTTACACATATTTATACTTGGTTTAAATAAAGATTGTGTACAGTTAGTAAAGGCATACATACATACGTACATACATACATACATACATACATACATACATACAGTACCTGGAGCCACAGTAGGGGGCAGACAGCTCTCGTGAATTTTTCCACACACACACACACACACACACACACACACGCACACACACACACACACACACTGACATTTTCAATTCCACTCCGGACGTCGTTTTATTACAGTTGTGATTAAAGTTATGGTTTTGAGAGAGAGAGAGAGAGAGAGAGAGAGAGAGAGAGAGAGAGAGAGAGAGAGAGAGAGAGAGAGAGAGAGAGAGAGGGGGGGGAAGGAGAGACAGGGGAGGGAGGGAGGGAGGGACAGACAGAAATTGATTGAAAAGTAGAGACAGAAGAAGAGAGAGAGAGAGAGAGATCAACCACACCCTCCACTCTCACTTAACACTATACTTGAGATAAAATCCCCAAACTTATAAAACCCAAGTAAGTAATCCCCGGCACTTAATCCCTTCTTCCAAAAAGGGAGGATTAAGGTGAGACAAGAAATAATCCCTTGAGTTGATTAAGATGAGAGGAGAGAGACAGATATTCTCTCTCTTTATTAATCAAGCTTAAAGGCGATTAATCTGACAGAGAGAGAGTGAGAGAGAGAGAGAGAAAAAAAGAGAAGTTTCAGTGTCCCCCTCTCTCTCTCTCTCTCTCTCTCTCTCTCTCTCAACAGGTGGTAGCGACAGAGGACTGTGGTAATAACACGACCCCCTCTCTGCTAGTTAATTACGGGTCACACAAAAGACATTATTTCATCCCTCGTGATACTGCAGGGAGGGGGAGGGGGGTGGGGGGAGGTAAGGGATGAGGGGGGAGGTAAGGGATGAGGGGGGATGAGGGAGGGAGGGAGAAAACGAAGACAAGGAAATGAGACAGACAAAGAATCACAGGAAAATTATAATCAAAGGAGAGAGAGAGAGAGAGAGAGAGAGAGAGAGAGAGAGAGAGAGAGAGAGAGAGACAAACACATCGTCCCCAGATCTCACATAAAACATCGTATATATGTGTTTGTTTGTCTGTTTACTTTACCCAAACAATCGATGACTCACCCGTGGTTTGTTATTTGTGTGTTTGTTTGTTTATACGTGTTTTAATGTCTTTGTTATTGTGATTGATTGTGTGTTTCTGTGTCAACAACTATTATTCTTGTTATATACGTGTGTTTCTGTGTCAACAACTATTATTCTTGTTATATACGTGTGTTTCTGTGTCAACAACTATTACTCTTGTTATATACGTGTGTTTCTGTGTCAACAACTATTACTTCTTGTTATATACGTGTGTTTCTGTGTCAACAACTATTATTCTTGTTATATACGTGTGTTTCTGTGTCAACAACTATTATTCTTGTTATATACGTGTGTTTCTGTGTCAACAACTATTATTCTTGTTATATACGTGTGTTTCTGTGTCAACAACTATTATTCTTGTTATATACGTGTGTTTCTGTGTCAACAACTATTATTCTTGTTATATACGTGTGTTTCTGTGTCAACAACTATTATTCTTGTTATATACGTGTGTTTCTGTGTCAACAACTATTATTCTTGTTATATACGTGTGTTTCTGTGTCAACAACTATTATTCTTGTTATATACGTGTGTTTCTGTGTCAACAACTATTATTCTTGTTATATACGTGTGTTTCTGTGTCAACAACTATTATTCTTGTTATATACGTGTGTTTCGTGTCAACAACTATTATTCTTATAACGTTTCTGTAACAACAACTATTACTCTTATATACGTGTGTTTCTGTGTCAACAACTATTATTCTTGTTATATACGTGTGTTTCTGTGTCAACAACTATTATTCTTGTTATATACGTGTGTTTCTGTGTCAACAACTATTACTCTTGTTATATAAGTGTGTTTCTGTGTCAACAACTATTATTCTTGTGTTTGTTGTTGTTTGTATGTATGTCTGTGTTCCAATGACCATTGAAAAATCACGGAAATAAATTCGTCCTGGCTGTAAGGGGGAAAATTTTCTTGCGAAATTACCCTCACTGGTAACCCCTAAGTCGAGGTTGCCAACAAGTTATTTTCCCCCCACCCAAAACGTAAACACAGACTACGAACCGAAAAAAAAATCCTTTACCATTCTCAACATTATTTAACATAAGACATTATTTAAGAAATAACATAGATGCTTAAAACAAACATTATTTTATGTATTAGTATTTACGTGTTATGTTTTAGAGTTTAGTGAAGTTAAAATTATAGTTAGTTTTAAGAGATGTTAGTGTGTTATATCAGTGTGCGTCCTTAAGAGTGTGTGTGTGTGTGTGTGTGTGTGTGTGTGTGTGTGTGTGTGTCGCGGTGGATTAGTGATCATGTGACCTGAACGGAACTATCATATCCCCTGACCCCCATATTGATCAATCTCTTGGAACAACAGAGGTCAAGATTGGTCAGGCTGGTGGTGGGTGGTGGTGAGTGGGATGATGGTGGTAGTGGTGGTGAGTGGGATGATGGTGGTAGTGGTGGTGAGTGGGATGATGGTGGTAGTGGTGGTGGAGGGATGATGGTGGTAGTGGTGCGAGTGGGATGATGGTAGTGGTGGTGAGTGGATGATGGTGGTAGTGGTGGTGAGTGGATGATGGTGGTAGTGGTGGTGGAGGGATGGTGGTAGTGGTGGTGGTGAGTGGGATGATGGTGGTAGTGGTGGTGAGTGGGATGATGGTAGTGGTGGTGGTGAGTGATGATGGTGGTAGGTGGTGGTGAGTGGGATGATGGTGGTGTGCGATGGCATGGTGTATGTAGTGTTTGGTGCGTGGTAGATGTTCTCTCCTGGGCTGCTGCTTTAAGGTTGGCGTGAAACTGATGTATATAAAAATAAAAGAAACATTTTCTTTCTCTCGCACACTAATTAGACTCTCTCTCTCTCTCAGTAAATATTAAACAAGTGTTAATTCATCGTGACGTCACAGATGTACATAACTGAACAACAACAGAAAAGTACAAACAAACTCATTATGGTGTACAGTACAATGACTAGTCTTGTACACTGGGTCTGGTGGTGGTGGTGTACATGTACTACTTCTGATGGTGATGTGTACTGTACCTTATTGTGTTTTCATTACTTCAGTACATCGTTTACTACAAGTATTATATGTACACTATAAGTGTACATTACCTCGGTTACATCACAATAGTACACCACACCTAAAAACACACTTGTACAAAACATTTCTACAACACAACTGTACATTACAATTGTACATCACCTCTGTACATCAATATACGTCAAAATTGTACATTACCTCTGTACATTACAATTGTACAACGTCTAAATATCACAACTCTACCACACAGCCACGCATTATTCTGTACACTACGCCTGTACATCACCTTTAAGCTTCCCTGCTGTACATGTCGTGTGTACATAACTTTTCTGCACTAGTTTCAACCACCGGAGCTGAGCGTTGGTTTGTACATTTTGCCTGTACATCAACTGTATCCAAACCCTCACTGTATCATTACTGTATTATGTAATGTATGTATAACTGTACATTATATTATCTTTGTATACATTTAATTAATATATGTATACAACACCTATGTATATTTATGTGTAGATCTTATACATTACACTTGTATTATCACCTCTGTACATAAAAACCTGTACAATATCAATGTACATCATTTGTGTACATTAGAGACGAATAATACCATATACCATTACTTTAGTACACACTCCCTTCATCACTAGTTTTGTACATCACACCAGAACACTCACTGTACACACTCCCTTCATCACTAGTTTTGTACATCACACCAGAACACTCACTGTACACACTCCCTTTCCCTATCACTAGTTTTGTACATCACACCAGAACACCCACTGTACACACTCCCCCTTCATCACTAGTTTTGTACATCACACCAGAACACTCACTGTACACACTCCCTTCATCACTAGTTTTGTACATCACACCAGAACACTCACTGTACACACTCCCTTCATCACTAGTTTTGTACATCACACCAGAACACTCACTGTACACACTCCCTTCATCACTAGTTTTGTACATCACACCAGAACACTCACTGTACACACTCCCTTCATCACTAGTTTTGTACATCACACCAGAACACTCACTGTACACACTCCCTTCATCACTAGTTTTGTACATCACACCAGAACACTCACTGTACACACTCCCTTCATCACCAGTTAAAATAGGTCATAGGAAATACAAACACATCCCTATAGCTGGAAGTTATAGAGGCCGGGACATAGACTATTAGCCGCTGGTGGGAAATTAAAATATATTGCTTTCACCTAACACCCCACCACCATCCCACCCCTCCCACCCCACCCCACCCCTCACCACTACTCCCTCCCCACCCCACCCCACCCCTCCCCACCCCTCACCACTACTCCCACCCCTCACTCTCACTACCCCACCCCACCCGACCCCTCAATAACCTGTAGATTAGAACCTCTATAGGAGATTTGAACCCTAAAAGTCATTATTATTATGCTATCTATTGTTAAGTTTATATTATTACTTCCTATATAAATTAATAAACACATTCATACAAATAAAACCCTTAACACAAAAAAACAACAACACATCAACGTAATATTTCATCTAAGTCACAAAAAATTATGTTAAGTTAATCTCTTTATTGATGCTCTTTTGTTTTGAACACACATCACCATCACCAACATCTGCACACACACACACACACACACACACACACACCACTTAACTCCCTCTTAGACTGACTTTATAGATGCTAGGAGTCTCAAGTTCACGCAGTATTCAATATCTTATAATCTGTTTGTTTACATTCACGATCATTTACTAATAGTTGAGCATCAGGAGGCAAAAGAGAGGGTGTCTGTCGCTCTCTCGTGTGATCCCAGTTGATGGGTTAAAACGAGTCTTTGTGGTGGTAATGGTGTGTCATTTGAAGCCTCCAATGTGTGTGTGTGTGTGTGTGTGTGTGGTGTGTGTGTCTCAGTTACCTCTCTTATCTTCTTTTCACCAAACATTTTCATATTTCAAATAAAGGAATTTTAATGACCTTGAGTACGGTACACTGCTGCCTCATTAAGGTGTGTGGATGGCGGCCAGGTGTATAATGAATGGTTTACGAAGAGAGTTACCTGAAGTTCCACAACACCTGTATTATGGAGTTCAAGGTACAGGTGTCTTTCAGCCTCACTACCTGTATGATGGCAAGAGTTCACCTGATGATTAAACACCTTAACGCTATACCTGACCCTACCTAACCTATGCTAACCTAACCTAACATAACCTAAACCAACCCTCCCCTACCCTGATTCGTTCCTATTACATTGCTCTCAATACCCTAAAAACACCTTCAGTTTAATGGTATATATAGACAGACCAATCACAATCCTTTACTTGTCTTTATTGGGATGTCATTGGCTGAATCGTCTTGCTTATTGTTATTGTTTGTATACCTTCACTGTTTATGTTAATGTGATGTTGCATGGTGATTTTTGTGATAAATCTCCTCTCTCTCTCTCTCCTCTCTCTCTCTCTCTCTCTGTAGGCTACTAATTCTCAATCCCCCTCTCTCTCTCTCCCTCAACAGGTCACAAGAAATCGACCGGTCTCCAAAATCCCCAAATCTCCTAGGTCTCCAGGTCTCCCAGGTCCAGGAGCCTCAAGAGTACATCTCCTGAGCCCCGAGGACCCACTGTCCTGTCACTGCCCGACACACTAAGCAGGTCAGTACACGGCATGGTAGGAGTGGGGGGTTGGTGGGGTGGGGTTGGTGGGGTAAGTTGGTGGTTGGGTTATGTATTATAGCCACAAATGGAGAGGCAAAATAGACAGATGGTGATGAGTGAAGTGAAATGGTGAGTGAGTAGTGAGTGAAAGAGAGAACAAGGCAAGCAAATAGGAGGAACTCACTCATAATAACATCAACACCAGACGGTACAGAGGTGAGGCGTCGTCATATATGTTCAACAGAGCAGCAGCACACACACACACACACACACACACACACACACACACACACACACACACACACAGGAGTTACAGAGGCAAAAGGTCAAAAGGTCAGAGGAGAAAAGACAAGACTGGCAGTGCTAAAAGGATTAATTTGGTTAAATCCACCATGATATGAGAGGAAAGAAACGACCTTCGGAGGGTTATAAGAGAAAATGATAAAATCTTTACAGGGCTAACTCAAATATTCCCCCAAAATCATACAACCTTTAGAGGGATAACTCAAATATTCTACCCCCCTAAAAACAAAAAAGTCTGATTCTCATGTAAATTGTGTTTCTGAAGTTATCACATGGGGTTCAAGGAAGGGTTGAGAGTGTGTGTCTGTCTGTCTGTCTGTCTGTCTGCCTCACAACAACAGGTAAGGTATTCACAGTACAGACCTCAATCCCTAACCCGTGAACAAAGATGTCTGCTGGAGGTCCACCTTCACTGAGGCCGGATTATAGAGTGCGACATAACCTAACCCTGGAGGATTACCTCGTCCTGAATGAGAGTATCAAATATCTCCGTTGTTTGTGGGAGTGTGGATGACGGGGTGACGTGGATGAGGGATGGTGACGTGGATGAGGGATGGCGTGGATGAGGTGCTTCTGTCTGTTGCTATCTTGTCTCTACTCTCTCTAGCATTCTCTCTCTCTCTCTCTCTCTCTCTCTCTCTTAGACAAGCCCTTAAGTGCTCTCTCTCTTTCTCCTCCCTCCTATACCCCGTGTGTGTGTGTGTGTGTGTGTGTGTGTGTGTGTGTGTGTTCTCTCTCCCCTTCTCTTCTTTGTCCTTCTATATCCTCCTTTCGTTTCCTAATCCAAGTATTTTGTTCTCAGATAGATAGATAGATAGATAGATAGATAGTTCGCCTCCTACATTCAGAGTAATGGGTGACTGTGTACCTGAGTCCCATAATATGATCTTCTTGTAGTTCAGACAGGCTCTTCCAACCTCCCTTCCTCTTCCCTCCCTCCCTCCCTCATTCCTCCCTCCCTCCCTTCAACCCCTCTTCCCTCCCTCCCTCCACACCATTCCTCCCTCCTCCCACACCATCCCTCCTCCCTCCACTCCATTCCTCCTCCACACCACATCCCTCCCTCCCTCCACTCCATCCCTCCCTCCTCCACACCCATCCCCTCCCTCCCTCCACCATCCCTCCCTCCCTCCATTCCATCCTCCCTCCTCCCACACCATCCCTCCCTCCCCCTCCACTCCATCCCTCCCTCCACACCACAACCCTCCCTCCACTCCATCTCCCTCCACACCATCCTCTCCTCCATCCATCCCTCCTCCCTCACACCACATCCTCCCTCTCCACACCATCCCTCCCTCCACACCATCCCTCCCTCCCTCCACTCCATCCCTCCCTCCCCATCCCTCCCTCCCTCCACTCCATCCCTCCCTCCCCACATCCCTCCCTCCCTCCACACACCATCCTCCTCCCTCCTCCATCCCTCCCCCAACTCTCCACCCCGCCTCAGAATGTCGTGCAGGAGGGGAAAGTTAAAAATACCTGTAATAATAATCAGCGTGAATAGTGTTGGTCCTGATGAAAATAGAGCATCCCGTCTCCACCTTGATGCCATTCTCACCCGGTCCTAAGGTACACTTCCGTGCCAATTGGAGTAAAAAGTTGCGATAAAAGATGGATTCCCAAAGGTTTGCAATTGAGAGAGAGAGAGAGAAAAAAAAAAAGAAGAGAGAGAGAGAGAGAGAGAGAGCAAAACTCTTAAGCTACGATTCAAAAGCTGGATTCTCAAAGGCTCCTAAGTTCAAGTTACAGTATCCAATTCCCTAACCTATCCCGCAATACCAAGACACTTCCACAAAAGAATCGTAAGCCATTTTTTTTACCTTACCTGGGGATGTCAGAGCGTAATTAACCGCTTCACCTGAGTCACGAAATATGATGGATTCTCAAAGGCTCCTATGTTTATTTTTATCCCTTTAATTAGAGACGCGAAGCCATATTTGTTTTCTTCATTTAAATTCCAACACAAAATGCAAATGACCCAAACTGCCCAGAGACTATCAGAACTAACCTCATAAGTCTTATTATGAGAGAGAAAAATAAAGACTTATGTATCTTTGAGAATCTATACTAATAATACTCTTTCATCGGTTCATTATTATTACCTGTCCCCTCCACACCTCCCCAAGGACAGGTGTGGAGCTGGTGAGGTGGTGTGTATATTTTGCTTTAGTAAATATTAACACGGGAGAGGTGAAGGTGTGTGTGTGTGTGTGTGTGTGTTTCTGGAACTACTCTGTTTCTTCAAGTCAGTGCAGTTACTACCGTGTCTGTCTGTCTGTCTGTTTATACACCTCCCGTACATGAAGATACAGGTATATACACACACACTCACGGACAAGAGGAGAGAACGAGAGCTTGGGTGAGTGAGTGAGGGGAAATTGTAGAGATGGAGGGAAATTTGGCGAGAGGGTGGAGGTATTGAGGTGAGGGGAGTGAGAGAGGGAAAGAGGGAGGGGAGTGAGAGAGGGAAAGAGGGAGGGGAGTGAGAGAGGGAAAGAGGGAGGGAAGATACATAGAGTGAAAAGGGGGAAAGAAATAAGCTTACTAAATCACGGAGGATAGAGAACAAAGAAATGCGAAACGGAAATAGAAAGAGAAAGCAATTGAAAGAGAGAGAGATAGAGAGAGAGAGAGAGAGAGAGAAATACACCGCTAAACGTGTAGAAGCAGAACTGTATAAGGGCAAAGAGAATAGCATACATGAACAACGAAGGCGTCCAGTTCCGCCCTTTAAGTCGTCCCGCCATAAGACTCAATATTGCCTCCCCAAGCACCACGTTAAGTTGCCAGATACACCAAGAACCAATAAACATTAACGCTCAAACTCCCACTATAACATTAGTATAAGACAGGCGAAGCGTTCGTCTGGCGTAACCTTCACAACCAATTGATTTTTTTACAACACCATCTTAGTTATAATAAAGTCTTACGTTATCGAGAAATAAGACAGAAAATTGTATGCCATGTTGTTCCCCCAACCGAGTTACCGCCAGACAGCTTACAATTTGTTTACCGGTAATGTAATTTTGTGTTATTCCGCAGCATATTACGGGAGACATCTTAAAGGTACATTAGGTTAGATGTCTTGGAGGAATGTTGTCCTTCAAAAATCTTATCTACAACAGCGGCACCAAGAATATGTTTATTTTCCCTAACCAGAAGACGATATTATTTGTTTATATATTTCTATAATTTCACCGAAAGGCTTTTCATTACGTTAACTAAACTAGCTGTTACATACCGCAGTACATAACAGCTCACAACAACAGCCGTAAAAGTTATTAATAAAATAACTTAGCTTCGTAAAACTCCAATTAATATAGACCAAATAATAAAACTCCCATTAACACATTTTTAACCGGATGAGAAAAAATTACTAATGAATTATTTATTATGTTGCCGAGTAAGTTGCTGATATCCGAAATGTTTCAGTAATTAATAAAAAGTTGAGTTATTTTCATATTTTATTAGAAACCTTTTATGTGCAGTGAACCCAGAATAATATTAATAATAACAATAACAACAGCAATACTACTACTACTACTAATAATAATAATATCAGTCCTAACCTTGACTACACTTACAAAAAAAATCTCGACTTACCTTACTTAAAGACACTTATTTAACTTAAACCACCAATACAATACAATAAAGTACAGTACAATACACAATGCAGAACAATGCAATAAAATAAAATAAAAATTGTCTGTAAATTTACGTAAAAGGAAAAATAATTCAGGATACTTACCAAGACGGAGTTGGTGACGTCACGACCTAGAATAGATTACACCTTTGTCATATTTCTTTAAAGTTTATTAAAAACAAATTATATTTACTTCTACACAAACACAAACAACAACAGTTAAATTAAATAAAAGTAGTGTAATTGAGTATAAGTCATGGATATTAACGAAACGATAAATTTAAAACAAATACAAACTAACAACCTCCAGGTAAAGCGACGAAAATATTAACCACAAGACATTAAATTTACGTTCACATAAATTATATACCGTAAATTTTCCAGATTATCTCCACAAGCTGTTATTATTATTAGTGTGAGATAAAGTCTACGGTCATAACATCGCATTTCACTGACTCCCACTACCAATGATTCTAATACTCTCTCTCTCTACCTATCTCTCGGTCTATCTATTTATCTATCTATCTATCGATCAAAGATTTCAGAGATAACAGTAAAAATTATCGCATCAAACACTGTATAACATTTAGTCAAACATCAACGGCCAAACTCCAGCTAATAGCCATGAACTATAAATTGATGTATAAACTGTAATTAAACTTTGCTTTATGTTTATACAATATTATAAAAAATGTATAATGTATGGTAGTTGTGGTGTTAAAGGGCAGGACGAGTTGTTAGGTGACTGACTGTTGTGTAATATTAGCACGGTGTTGTCTTATATTTCCTAAAGTAAAATTCCTTCTCTTAAAAAATGGTAAGAGTTTTTCTCAAGTTAATTTTTAAATACTAAGTCAAACGTCAGTAATTTTACGATAACGAAAGTAACTTAAGATATAATAAAGGAGATTATCTTTGGAAGCTTTCTGTAAATTAAGTTGTATATGTGGCTTATAAGTTTATTTAAGAGTAATAATAAATCGAAGAGCCTGGGAAAATATTTGTTTGTGATATAAGAATGGGGAACCTTCTTTATGTTGTTTATATTAGCGAGTAAGTCAGTAGCGTTCGTACAGGCACATGCAGAGAATCCGGATCGATCCTGACCTTCACCAAGAGTAAATAAATAAACAACTGAGGTTAGGTGTTGTCCTGATGAAAACAAACAACACTACACTCGAGGAGGACACACACACACACACACACACACACCTCCCTCCTCCTAACTTCTTCAACAAGATCCTATACTAACACCTTCTTCTTCTCCTCCTACAGGAAGACCAAGGATCCTCGACAGCCTCTTCACCAAGCCCTCGAAGGAAGCGGCCCCCTTACAGCCACATCCTACTCAGTGACCGTAAACCTTCAGCAGGAAACCTTCTGGCCACCACCTTCGGGATAGTTGACCGAGATGCTGTCACACAGTCACTACCGCTGATACACGAGAGGGAAAAGGTGTATGAGTGTGTGTGTGTGTGTGTGTGTGTGTGTGTGTGTGTGTGTGTGTGTGTGTGTGTGTGTGTGTGTGTGTGTGTGTGTGTGTGTGTGTGTGTGTGTGTGTGTGTGTGTGTGTGAGAGAGAGAATGAGAGAGACAGTGGGGGAAGAGAGAGGAGAACGAAGGGTGTGTAGAATAAAAAAAATAACAGGAGGGAGTAGTAAGTGTAGTGGAGGGCATAGAACACACCTGGCTCTCTCTCTCTCAGCCTTGACCCGCTAGAGGAAGGTGTTGTTACGCAAGTCACTAGGGAGTTGTGTCGCCATGGTGTGTCTACATACATACATACATGACGGGCTCAGTGTATTCCCAAGTGATTTAGTGAGATGATAAAGAGAGAGAGAGAGAGAGAGAGAGAGAGAGAGAGACAACAGACAAGCACAGTCAAAGAAAGAGACAGAGACTCGTTCCCCCTGCCTTCGTTATCGCCTGTCAATATTCAGTGACACCCAGTCTACCCTCCCCTTCCCCTTCCTCCCCTTCCCCTCCCTCCCCTTCCCTTACTGGTGTACGTGTGTCTGAGAAAAAAGATATAGAGAGAAAGGGAACATAAAGAAAGAGAGAGAAAGAGGAATAGAGAATAAAGAAGAGAAAGAAATAGATAGAAATGTTGTCTTCCTTCCTTTAGTATTGCCTTCCAATATCCCTGAGAGAGAGAGAGAGAGAGAGAGAGAGAGAGAGAGAGAGAGAGAGAGAGAGAGAGAGAGAGAGAGACCCTAGGTCGTGATCAGTGTGGCGGAAGGTGATCACTTTTCACACCCTCCAGGGGCTCCACGTGACGTCACTCATTATTCTTGACGAGAGCCGATCAATATTCTTATGACAGGTCCCATTTTAAACCTTTAAGATATCATTACCTATAAACCAACCTAACGTAATCTAACCGTACCTTAATTTGAGCGGTTGTGATGCATTCCTCTCACCATTCAAGGATCGAAGCTCAAATAAGGTAGTTAGATACGCTTTCACGTCTCTAGCTAGTTAAATAATTCACCATAATCTATCTTTCTTTTGCTGCTTGAGTAAGTCACTCGGATACGTTCTTATAGCGCTAAATTGGTGGAAAATATACAGTCAACTACAAAGCTCTAAGAATCCGGATTCACAGACGCCACAACTTGTTTACGTCCGTCATAAGGTGAAGCTGTAAACACATCCACCATGTTGTGACGTGTTGATGACCTCAGCGTTAGTCAAGGTGGCGAGGCGACGGACCTTGTCTCTTTGTTATATGTGCAACTACATAATACTATAAAGAGCGAGACAATGATTTATATATATATATATATATATATATATATATATATATATATATATATATATATATATATATATATATATATATATATATATATATTTGATCGACGTCGCAAACAGCCCTTTAATTAATTTAATTAACTTAATTAAGGCAATTAACTTACAATAACGGTAGCACCCAAACTCTCTCTCTCCATCAACCTTTTTCAGCCATCAACCAAATCTTATAATAATATCAACCAATCAACACCTCTCTAACAAGTCATCCAACGCTGCTTGGCTAACACAAGAGCAAGAGGGAAATACTAGACCAATCATTACAAAGCTTACATCGCCACTTGAAGACCCGACGCGTATTGTTCTTACCTGAGTTCAATAGACTATGTTAGGTAGAGTTAATTAACGCTATTTATGGCTTACAGATATATTAATACTGCGTTAACGAAAAATTCGTTTATATTTATAATTTAATTGGGGATATTCTATGTGTGTATGTGTATGTGTATGTATGTATGTATGTATGTATGTATGTATGTATTTATGTGTGTGTGTATATGTGTGTGTATGTATGTATGTATGTATGTATGTATGTATGTATGTATGTATGTATGTAAATAAGTATGTATGTATGTATGTAAGTAAATAAGTATGTATGTAAGTAAATAAGTATGTATGTAAGTAAATATGTATGTATGTGTGTATATATGTATGTATGTATTGTATGTATGTATGTATGTATGTATGTATGTAAGTATGTAAGGTATGTATGTATGTATGTATGAATGGGCAACAAGGCGTAGTTAGTAGTCGTATGTATAGCTGTAAGTAAATAAGTATGGTGGTGGTATTGCATGAATGGGCAACAAGTATGCATGCATGTGTACATGTGTATTGTATGTATGTATGGATGTAAGTAAATAAGTATGTATGTATGTATGTACGTCTGGTGGAGTGGTGGTGAAGGTCAACACAACACGTCATACTTAACCTTTGACCTTCCTCTATTAAATACTGAAGGAAAAATACCGCACAGAACTGTATTAAAGAAAGTATAACTGACAAAATATGACACCTTATGTGTATAACCTTGGCTCTCTCTCTCTATATACTTATCAATTTATTTCTTCCTTTCGCTTTCTATCTATCAAGCTATCTATCTATCTATCTATCTAGTAACTTACCTGTGACTCGACAGGTATAATTAGACTATCCACATTAACCTTGAAATAAAAAGTCCCTGTAATAGCCTGAAGTAATATCACCCTTACTAACCTACACCAAAGGAACGAAAATTCCTTGTCTTTTATGCATTATAATTATGAAACATCATAAGGAAATATAACCCCTATTAAATTAACGAATAAAGGTGAAATTAGCTTATTTTGCATACTTCTATCTAGGGACGACCTTCATATGGTAAACTAGCCTCTAACATCATTAACTGTATGGTTCATTTTCCTATATTATATTTTTGTGTTATGAGGTATATTATTTCACACTAATATAACCCTTATGTCACCAGGTACAGAGAGGTGTTTTTCCCACATTCTTTAATCTGCTTGAGTAGGAGTAACATCTGACCTTATACGTTTATGAATGTCTATAGTGTGTGTGTGTGTGTGTGTGTGTGTGTGTGTGTGTGTGTGTGTGTGTGTTTACCTGTAACCACCAAAAACTACAACAAAAATAATAATAATAATAATAATAATAATAATAATAATAATAATAATAATAATAATAATAACAGCAAAAATTATTACAATCATCATTCCCTTTCTCGCTCAGACACAACTACTCCCATTATCTAACAAGGACATAAACAATATTAAGTCACCTGGGGCGAAGCAGTTTATTAAAACAGGTAAACTTGGTTGCCATGGTAACAGGGGATGTTGAAGTTGCCATGGTAACGTCATGATGGGGGCAAGATGGTGTGTGTGTGTGTGTGTGTGTGTGTGTGTCTCAACAAACATGTATATTTTATCTTTGTAGTCTGTTGACGCCTAGAGATATTAACTCTCCGTAGAGACACAATGGAGAGAGATGTTGAGAGAGACAGAGACTCCCACATGTACTGTTAACAGGTCTTAATCCTTCCACAGGAACACGCGAGGTTGATCGTGGAGCGGCCAGAGATCCGGGACCCTCAGGCGGGGTTCGAGGCGCTAGGTGGTAAGTGTGAGTCATGTGGGACCTGCACTGACAGCTGCCTCAAAAAACTCGGCCTCGAGCACGAAGATGGTTCTCGCTCACCCTCCAGCGTCTCCCCGAAGGCGGAGAAGATGTACAGCTTCTTTGAGAAGAGTTTGTCGCTCGTCAGTTCCTCACCGACGCGCTTCGGGGACCATCTGGCGCCCCGGGAGAAGAGGAGTCACTCCCTGGCTACGCCCACAGCGATGGCTCATGTAGTTCGCTTCCAAGAGCTTCACAGTCGCCATGCTGAGAACCACCTCCTGAGGACGGTCAACATGGCCACCTCCAACGCCGTCCTGTCCCGCATCTCGGCGCGTCTGAGGGCCGTGACCACCGCCACCCAGCAAGAGTCTGTCGAGGAGGTGGACGAGGAGGTGGAGAAACTCGCAGCTCAAAACCCCGAGCTCGTGGACTCCCTCATCAAGGATGCGAGCGTCCTCAGCGTGACGAACACGAAGGACAAGTCTCTCCCTGCCAGAGACGCAGACCACAAGACGCCTCCCGCTGCTAAGGCGGACAACATGCGCCGCACTAAAAAACATGACCAGGTAAATCCAAGTGCCGACGTTGGCAGTAATGCCTCACAGACGACTAACGCCAACACAGACACAACGGAGAAGGCGTCCCTCTCTAGTGACACAGTAAACAAGGCGTCCCTCACTACTGACGCAGTAAACAAGGCGTCCCTCACTACTGACGCAGTTAACAAGGTGTCCCTCACTAGTGACACGGCCGCCAGAGTGTTGAACATGAGTTGTGGAGTGAGGGACTTGAAGCTTCGCCTGGACGAGAATGAGATGGAGGGCAGAGAGCGGCCGTCAGGTGGTGAGTCGCAGCGCCCTGTTGACACCATCATGATCACACAGTAACACTTCGCTCACTCAGGGTCAAGACCGGTCATCCACAATGAAGCTAGGTCACCCAGGGTCGAGACAGGTCACCCTGGGGTACAGCCTGATCACCCGGAGTCAAGTTAGATCTCCCTGGGTTCAGCTGCGTAACCTGAGGTCATCACACCGTAAATACCTTGACCGTGGACGACAACCTGAAGGTCACCATGGAGGAGGAGGAGGAGGAGGAACTTATGGTGGACGACGCAGTACGACCCACAGATGGAGTCTTTTGTACAGCAGGAATATTTGTACTAATTATTTGGCCTTACTGCCTTCCCGAGTCACCTGCCGACCAGCTCCACCATGGTCAGGGACGCCGATTCATGTGTAAACACTGATCAATCACTGACGCCTGACTTCACATGTCATTTTTACGACTGTATCTCAAACCTGTTAACAATCGATGACTTCTTGCCCAGTGTGGAGTCGAACCTGGGACCTCTGAATTATAGTTAAATGCCACGACCAACACGCCACACCGCACCACACCACAGGATCCATTATAGGAGGGAGAACGTGGGTGGGGTAGGGTGAGGTGTGGTGGGCGGCGGTGGTGGTGATAAACAACCAACAACACCGTCAGTCACCTTGAGTAATGACAGAAAACTTTGATAAATTACCGGGGTAACTAAAGTATTCCTTCCAACACAGCGTCAAGTCTCGTACGTCATGTGGTTGGTATCGTAACTTACAATACCCCCAGCACAAGAGCCATCAACTCTATAGACATACACCCTCTAATGTGTCTATTTACGAGAGGAGAAAAAATCTACCTTACGAACTTTTCAAAATCCGGATTGAGATGCTCGGGGTGACCTGACTATAAGATCTGTCCATCATATAACTCACAGTATCGGTGTTTCATATACTATACATACATACATTATATATTTTATAACAGCTCTACTCAGTGTGATTTACTTACTGTATACATTATCCAGACTCAAGTAACTTTTATCCACTCTCTCAGCTTTATACATACATACATACATACATACATACATACAGACATAACAAACATACCTTATATACATACATACATATATATAAAGTGCAAACAGTAAACATGAGATTGGATAGTATAGATGATAACTGGTCAAATAAAAGGATAAATGTTCACTTTAGCTTCGACACATTATTTACTGGATAATTTGTGGAAGGAAATTATATTGGTGTTTTTGTTTGTAATATACATTTTTTTTATAGTTGTGGGGGGGGGGAGGTTAGCAAGAGCTGAAGTTAAAACGATTTTATAAAACAAATCACGTGAACCAACCGCATTCTATCTCTCCTAACCAAAGGTAACCTAACCTAGCCTAACCAATCCCAACCCAAAGTAGCCAAACCTAACCAACCAAACTTAACCCAAGTAAACGTAACTCAACCCAATCCAACCAAACCAAAAGTAAGCTAACCTAACCCAACCTAACCCAACATAACCTAACCCAACCTAACTCACACACATTCCACATATTAAAACACCAGCTCGGTCAAGATCCCACCACCATAAATCCTGAGAAACTAATATGGCGGAGTTAAAGTGACCATTTACCACCAAGTATTAGTTTAATGTTTTAGATAATTAATCAAAATATCCTGTAAGAAATTAACCTATAGCTTATAAGACTGATGGATAAATTACTGTGCCAATTAATGTTCATCTGGATTGGTTTACTTTTTTTGTTTAAGCCATTTTTGTTATATATAATTAAGTGAGATCTTACGTTGAGGACCTGTAGGGTGAGTTCTGTGCTTCTCCCATACACAGACAGACAGACAGAGACCAGCCAGACAGATAGACAGACAGACAGACTAATTAACTGCCCTCCGCCATCTTGCTTGTCTATATATATACAAGCAGGTAAGGTTATCAAAATCTAATAAAATCTTCTACTCTTACATAATATTTACTAAGTCAAGCTGTCGGGTTCATCTCCTCAAAACACCACTAGACGCCCCACAAGACTTCACAGGATGTAATACGGATTCAAGAACGGATTCATGTGTTGGAGGTACACGAACGCACCAGGACTCAGTGTTGTGATAACTCTCGTCTTTCTCCCAGATTCTCATTGTCTTATATATTCCTCTCCCTCTAAAAATATATGTCGTTTTTTTAATATCAGTTTTACCATAGAATAATAATAATAATACTTACATGTACGTAGATAATAAAACTGTCTTGAAATTATAATACTCAAGGCGTCTCAGAAAAATGTATACAAACTACATAAAGAACAAGACAGTTTGTGTGTATACATTTTTCCGGGACACCTTATATAACCCAAACGATATCATGTGTATAAATATTTTGCTAAATGTGACCTTCTGAAGCCCATATATGACCTCAGATTTATATATAATGTATATCCCCAAGAAGCCAAAGTCACCTAACACAATGCTTTGACCTTTGTGACCCCGGGAGGCCATTGGTCGTTCTCTATGTAGTGACCTTTGATGACCTAACTTGGGGTCATTTTTATCTTTATTTGAATTATCTGGAATTTGTGTTTGATATTGTTTTAGTTTTATGGTTTAATCTCTCCCCATCTCTCTCTCTTTATTTTCTACATATCTATCTATCTTATTTCTATCTCAATCTACCCATCACTCTATTTATCTATCTATTTACTTACACCCATCTATCTTCCCCTCTCTCTCTCCATCATCACCTTCCCCCTTGCTCCCATCTTTATTAACCTAACCCCCCATTATTAAGTCATCCCCCGCGTCTCCTCACAGCCCCCAAAATACAACTGGTGTATTGTATGATCATAACCCGCCCCCCCTGGCAACACACCATAAGCCTACAACTGTATCGCTGTTCAATATGTAATACAAAAAATACAACAATATTTCAGTTTGTGTTTTATTTATGCCGCCTCGTGTGTGTGTAAATTGTAAAGGGATAATAATAATAATAATAATAATAATAATAATAATAATAATAATAATAATAATAATAATAATAATACATATAAGGTATCTCAAAAAATAACAACAACAATAACAATAATAACCTCAAAATACAATACAACTTTTATTCCATTAATAAAGAAAATCCAAACTTCAACATCAAAATTCATCCTCAAAAAAATAACATTGTATAAAAGAACAAACCCAAAAACTAGAAAAAAATATTCGTGTATTTTTTTAACGTATCTTTGACTTCCTCTAAAAAAAAAAAGACCAAAGCACAGAGATGAAAAATGTGAAAATATTATTGAACGTGTGTGTGTGTGTGTGTGTGTGTGTGTGTGTGTGTGTGTGTGTGTGTGTGTGTTATAGTCGATTATAAGTGAGGTTAGATTGAGTTGGGTTAGGTTAGATTGTTGGGTTAGGTTAGGTTAGGTTGTTAGGTTAGGTTAATATAAACACATCACACGATAATCTTCCCCTGTGTGGCCCATCAGATCATCAGACGTCTGGCACACACATTCACTCTACCGTCACGGCCAACATTACTGAACAGCTGTTACTTTTTTTTCCTATCCTGTGCCTCAACATGGGTAGAAAAACAAGCAATGGAAGAAAAAGGGGAATAACACAAAAATACGAGTAAATCAAAAGAGGAAAAAATAAAGGACGATAACGAAAAAAAATATGAGTGAATCAAAAGAGAAAAATATTGTAAGTTTTAAGGAATAGAAACAGGAGAAAAACATGACATCATTTTGCCATTGAGAGAGAGAGAGAGAGAGAGAGAGAGAGAGAGAGAGAGAGAGAGAGAGAGAGAGAGAGAGATGTACAAAACCAACCCCATAAACTACCAGACTCACACATGCAGTAAACGAGAGAATTATCCTTCACGGTCTGTTGCGTGTTGTAATATTATTTTCTGGATCGGATTTCTGTGTGTATATTTGTTAGGGTGGTGGTGTGTGTGTGTGTGTGTGTGTGTGTGTGTGTGTGTGTGTGTGTGTGTGTGTGTGTGTGTGTGTGTTTTTAGTAATATACTTTTACCACAATATGCAATTACTTACCACGTTACGACGAAAGGCTCTACACCAATCAATGTAGGTCATGGGTAGTTCAACACCAATCAGCATTCGTTATGGTATGCTTGGACCATTCAACACCCGTCATGTCCAGCCCGGAATACGAGTGGGTTTTGCCTCCTTAGCTGACTGGAGAGTGACACAATGTTGACTTATCATTACCGCAAGTCCTGCCTGGGAGAGGGAGAGAGGCACAGTGTTATGATAATGAGGGAGACGAAGATAACAAACAAGAAGAAAGAGTAAAGTAAATAATTGAAGATAAAAAAGGAAGAGGAGATGAAGAAAACGGAGAAAAAGAAGAAACGAAGGAAGGACGAAAGGAGTAGAAAAAGAAGGATAATTATGAAGCAAGTGAAATAATTATAAAATAATGAACAGTAACATAACAAAGAAGAAGATGCATTAGGAGAATAATTACGAAGACATTGCATAATAGTAGATAAATGACGAATGGCAAAAGAAATAAAGTGGACAAGAGAAAGAAAACAAGAAAATTAGATAGTAAAGAGAAAAACCGGGAATAAAGATAATAATAATAATATTAAAAACAACAACATGGCCGAAACACACAAACCCTTACAGACAGACAAAATGAGATTAGTCTATATTCGCCTTCGCTGAAGCCGTCAGGGGAGTAACAGAAAATAACAACACTGTACATTATTCGTGGAGTGAAAAAGAGTAATTGAGTAAAAAACAAACAAACAAACAAACAAATATTTATTATTCAAGTTAGTAGAGGAGGGAATATTTAAAGGCAAAACAAGAAGAGAAAGAGTCACTCGTCAATATCTCTCTCCAAAGTGAGTGAAGGAGTCATTTCCCAGGTGTGAGTATGTGAATATATGATATATATCATCTCCCTCGTGTGAGTGTATGAATGAGTCATCTCCCCGGTGTGAGTGTGTGAGAGGAGAGATGGTGGCACACGTCTCACAATCACCCGGTGCCAACACAGCCAAAATACCTGCACTAAATCCCCTTCAGTTCCTCGCTGGGAAATATTTCTTAGGACTCAGGACGGGCAACGCTCTCAGTGAATTGCGCCAATTTTTGTGGTCAAGTCAAGATCTATAATTGCCAACGAGGGTATTTATATAAAATAAATATCGAATCACAATAAATACGTAAATTTAATTTTAAAAGTATTTAATATCATATTTTTAATAAATTAGTCCTGTGTGGACACGCCTGTCCGAAGTATACAAGAGACGGGTTAAAAAAATTACAAATCGTGGAAAAACAAAAACAATGTGAACTGGGAAAGTTGACGGAAAAGCTTTAGTGTGACGCCGCCTTCACACTAGCAATTTTAGTGAGGGTTATATCTTTTCTTAGTGAAGCCTGTCAGCTGGGAAGGTAATAATGTGTGTTTGCCTGTCGTTCACGCCTGGCCCTCTGGCCTTGTTTATGAGGATTTTCACATACTCTTATTTCTGTGAATTTTCTCCTACTTTTGATTATATATTCATTCCATTCCATTATTTATTCATTCGTTACTTTATTCTGCTTGTTTCTGCTGGTGTGTATCAACGCTTGTTATTATTTACGAATGCTCATGTTTTTTTTTCTGTCGATTCGTTTCATTCTAATTAACCGTCAGTCTCGATCTTGACGACGTGTGGGTAGCTGCCACATGATAAGCGAGTCTATTATAATTTGATTGCTGGATTTAGTGGCGTGAGCAGCTGTCAGGAGCAGCAGGTCTTGGGCGTCAATGGATTACCTGTGATTCACGGACGACAGCTAGACGCGGTGATGGGCGTCGCTCTTCCCTCATTCAGGCACTAGAGGTGTTTTGTGCCTCTTGCCATCACAAGTAGCCCCACACCAACACGAAGAGAGAGGAGGCAGACACACAGAGAGACAAGGAGGCAAAGAGAGAGAGAGAGAGAGAGAGAGAGAGAGAGAGAGAGAGAGAGAGACAGAGAGAGAGAGAGAGAGAGAGAGAGAGAGAGAGAGAGAGAGAGAGAGAGAGAGAGAGAGAGAGAGAGAGAGAGGCTATTCTCGTGGTTGAGTGACACTGTCTTAAGGTAAGTTTATCACCGTGTAAACTTATGCCTGTTCCATGGGTCTCAAGGTTTGTAACGTCACCCTCCATGTAAACATACTTGCGTGCTGTTCCACTACAATCCAAAGGTTTATTCCGGGGTTATTTTTAACAGTGGTGTTAGTTTCTGGGCACCTACAGATAACACCACGCATGTCCTACAGCCTGTGGTATTCTTAGTCCCCCTCATGAAAACAGACAGACACCCATACGAGAATAAATAATCTATTGAAGAGAAATTAATGCTTGTGTAAAATGTCTTCGTAAATCAAAATTTGAGTCATTAATTGTATAACGTAAAGAGATACATCATAATCTTGAAGGACTCGATTGTTCGTGAAAAAGAAGACGGGAAGTCGGATTTATTGTGTGTAATATATCATGAGTCAAATTGTCACCTGTTGTGGAGGATATACACAGTTAGATGCCCTTAAAGACGTTAGTTGTTGAAGCGCAGTAATGCATTAAAACATCAACATTGACTAGCAGTTGACAAGTGAGTGTGTGGTTTTAAATACTGCCTCACTGCCCAGCACTAGAGCCAAGCTAAACCTAACCACCCTGACGCAGGTTTGGTTTATTTGTGTTATCTGTAAGTTAGGTGACGTGGTAGTTTAGGTTATGGTAGTTGTAGGTTAGGCTAGGTTAAGGTAACTTTGGTTAGGTTAGATTCCGAATGCAGGTAAGGAAGTACATACATACATACATACATACATACATACATACATACATTACATACATACATACAAACATACATACATTACATACATAAAGAAACATGCGAGATAATTAAATGCAGATATACATGCACTATTCACACACATATACATAAACTATACAACACGTGTATGAACAGTAAATCTTATCGTATGTGCTTATATATACATGTACACAAAACCAATACAAATACAAACACTATAATAAGACTCCTCTACCAGGTTACGGAGTTCACCTAAAGATTAGACAACCCCCATCTTATTTCACCTTAAGATTAACCACTCTGACGCCAACCTAACCTAACCTAACCCCCAGGTGAAATAAGTTGCTCTGTGTGTGTTGAAGTGAAGATTGAAGGTAAAAAAACATGGGGATAAGAACACGAGAAAAGTAAACAAACACAGCAACACAGACAAGGATAAAAGGCGGGAAACAAGAACAGAGTCAAAACACAAGACTAATTTGTGTGTGTGTGTGTGTGTGTGTGTGTGTGTGTGTGTGTGTGTGTGTGTGTGTGTGTGTGTGTGTGTGTGTGTGTGTGTGTGTGTGTGTGTGTGTGTGTGTGTGTGTGTGTCTGGGTGTTCATCAGTAGCAAGCAGGAGTTGTAACAGATTATCGGCTTTAAGAATTTTATCTCCACAACTCAAGCAATTCGTGGTAGTAGTGTGTGGTAGTGAAGGTTAGGTTACGTTGGGTTAACTTAGGTTATAATGATGTTAGGTTAAGTTAAAATTATGTTAGGTTAACTTAGAATGATGTTAGGTTAAGTTAGAATGGTGTTAGGTTAAGTTAGAATGAAGTTTGAATAGGTTAAGCTAATCTATTGATGTACATACTACTGTACTGACCAATGTATTCAAAGAATGTTACAATCGACTGTCTGTCTGTCTGGCTTGCTAACATGTGACTACCTAATTGGCTGTGTGGTTGGCAGGCGGGCAGGGCATCTGGCAGTAAGGGGAGTGTCAGTATGGCAGTGTATTAGTGCCAGTATCCGACAGACCCCGGGCACTGTCGGCCGCCCCCATACTACTCACAGCTCCACCGATTTCCCAAAGGTTCGTGAGTTGATAAATCTCCCTCTAGTGGATATATGAGAACCGTTCCCTCTCACTTACGACTCTAAGATGGATTCCCAAGGTTAGTGCGCTGACTATCTCTCTCTCCTGAGTGAGTCTCCTTGGTGTCTCTCACTCAAGATGCGACACAAAGATGAAGTCTCCAGGGATCGTTAACTGTGTTTTTCCTACTTAACTGGTGACGTGAGAACGGCATTTCACTGCCTCACTTATGATGTGGCGCAGTGATGGATTCTCAGTGGTTCGTTAGCAGTGTTTTTTTTCCTTAACTGGTGACGTGAGAACGACATTAACTGCGTCACTAAACTTACGACGTAAAGATGGATTCTCATTGGTTTATGAGGTGAGTTTTTCCTCCTTAATGGTGAAGTGAAAGCAGGTGTAACTGTCTCGCTTAATTTTGAGGCAAAGTTGACAGCTAAATTAGTGTTAAAATTGCGATCCAAAATACTTAACCGTAACGAGATAATTAACAAGTGGGTTACTGACAGCCGAGTACCACTGAGTTATTATCCGTAGACACATCATTATTCTCAGTGGTGTCAGGGCCTTTGTTCACTTCATTACGTCTCTTTTAACCATTTGAGAGTTACTGCTCTCGTTAGTGTGCATTATTCTGATATCCACATGACACAACTCGTCTCTTTGTGGTGCTTGGTGACCGTATGGTGAAGTGTGGTGACCATATAGTGACTGTGGTAACTGCGGTGAAGTGGTGACCCTGTGGTGGCTGTGTGATGATACCTGGTGACCGTGTGACGAAGTGTGGTGACTATATTATCGCTACCTGGTGACTAGTGGAGCGTGGTGACAGTAGTGGAGTATGGTGACTGACTGTATGGTGTGGTGTTGCCTAATACGCCAACAACAAATACGCTATAGGCAAAAAATCTAATCCTATGACGTCATTCACAATAAGTGACGTCAATCCAGGTTACGTAACTCGAGCGGTGTATTTGATCAGCGAAGCCAGAGGAATAATGTCCACCAGATGTTACCTGAGCTGCCACAGTCTTGCTCAACATGTGACTGGTTGACCTTGTGTGTGTGTGTGTGTGTGTGTGTGTGTAATTAACTACGAAACTATTAATGACTAAATATATTTATCTATAACTGTAATTTAAGTTGATTTAAATGGCTGTACAGTCAATTAATTTTCATAGCGATACTTATACAGTGTTACAAGTCTAGCTTTATTCAGTGTTACAAATTCAGCTTTCCAGGTTATTCAGTGTTTCTAGTCCAACTTTATTCAGTTTTACAAGTCCAGCTTCATCAGTTGTTCAGCATTACAGGTACAGTAGTTCAGAGTTAGCAGTTGTTCAGGTTGAGTAATTAGAGGTCTCAGGTGAGAGATCCAATGGACAATTAATTATCTGCCAACATTTGTTTTCCCGCCACACGACGAGAGTGACAGATGCCAATTGTTGTTTTTTGTCGCACTTCCAAAATAAAATCCATTATCTAATATGATAAGTCATTACATAAGTGTTTTTATAGCACAGTTCAATGTTATTACGTAATATTATAAGCGATGCGAGGTGATTGTCCTTTGTTCATTGTATCTTTGAAGTTTGAACTAAAATTTTTCGTTAGACTAAATGGCTAAATGTCAACTATATTTGGTTTCCCGGGCAACGAGCATCACCCATCCAGACCGAACCAAATGATAAATTAACCGCCTTTTTTAACGATGCCAAATATAACTAATGATGTAGATTTGATTAATGTTCACTTCAGTTTAATCGTCTAAAAAATATAGGCGCAAACATTACTTTAATACCCAATATTTCTCTAGGAAGCTCAGACCACAAGACACACGCTACCAAAATCTTTAAATAATAATAATAATAATAATAATATTGCCTTGATGACATTATATACGGTATATATGTACACTCACATTCTCTAACCATCTTGTTAAAATATTAATTAATAATATCTTATTGTAATATATAAGCTAATACCCGACAGATTAAAATGATAGATATTACAGTCGAGCGATGACGTCACGGTGGCAATAATTTGAGAGTGGCGTCCAACATCAAACACAATTATTCATTAACATGCAAAGGGATTTTATAGGACTTCAGGATTTTTTTTTTCACCGTGAATATGAACGTTTTAGTCATGAGCTTTTAAGAGACACACCTCCGTTCTTGATGGCAGTGTTTATTTTTGTGCCAGTAGTGAATATGTAATACGACATGGTAAAGTGGTGACCGTTTTATGTCTGCGTGTTTATTTATGAGAGAGAGAGAGAGAGAGAGAGAGAGAGAGTGTCATGTGTGTCAAGTGTCATGTGTGTCAAGTGTCATGTGTGTCAAGTGTCATGTCAATAAGTAGGCTAAAACTCAAAAGCAGTGACATGATCGACTCGGGAAATCGTATAGCAACAAACACGTGTTCTCTTGTACTGTTACTATAAATGTTACTTCACCAGTTCATTCTTTACTTCACCAGTTCATTCTTTACTTCACCAAACCGTAAATTACTTCTAGTTTGTTATTTTCCTTTCCTTACTTCACGACTCCATTACTTGACGAGGCTATTACTTAACGATTCCACAACTTCACGATTTCCTAACTTCATCATCAGTCCCTAACTCCACCAGTCCCTAACTCCACCAGTCCCTAACTCCACCAGTCCCTAACTCCACCAGTCCCTGACTCCACCAGTCCCTAACTCCACCAGTCCCTAACTCCACCAGTCCCTAACTCCACCAGTCCCTAACTCCACCAGTCCCTGACTCCACCAGTCCCTAACTCCACCAGTCCCTAACTCCACCAGTCCCTAACTTCACCCGTTCCTAACTTGTAATTAACGAGGAAATCAGCTATACAACCCCACCTGTCACCAACACCTACATATGAACTTAAATTTCAACTTTTTTTCTGGGGCGTCGAAACCAAATTATTATGTGGATATTTTCTTAGTGTTTTTATCTACTGTGATTTTAACCAGGATATCAACACAAACACTTTAACACTATTGAAAGGTTACAGGAGTAAAAGAAAATATGTTTAATAAGCCAAGTTAAATGACCCCGTAATCACTTTTAATAATTTTCTCCACGGCTTCATTACTCGCCTCCTGGAAGGTTATGTTATGGTTTAGGCGACGGTAAGGCGACATAATTTTACCCGCCCCTTGTGACCTGTCTAATGTAGGCTTTTCGTGCATGGGGGATAATTTTTTTAAAGATTACCTTAAGATTAGGCACCTCAGCTTATTTCATCTAACCTAACTCAACCAAACCTAACCTAACTCATGGAAACCTAACCTAACACCCTAGATAGCATTAGGATATTTAATCGTCAGGTGAAATAAGCCATGGGAGGCTAAATAATCTTGGTGATCCAAACTTTCTTACATACGGTTGTTAATATCCACCAATAAACTAATTAAATTTGTATGTCATCAAGTTAGGAAATTACTCAATCTTTTAAAATCACTGATTCTTGTCGGGATAAATTTAGTTGATTAAAATTTTGTGTCGTACAATCTGTTTCGTGTCTGGGGTGACCTACTGTAACCTTAGTTGACTGACCTTATATGACCTGAGGTGCTTCTACCACCTCCGTACCCCGAGGCCAGCGTGGGGGGTGAGAGGGAGGGGGAGGGGCCGTGGCCGTGACTATCATATTGATCTCACTGTTGATCACCCACCACCACCCCTTCCCTCCCTACTCCCCGGGACGCTTACGAGCAGAATCCACTCGTATGCGGGCAAGATGTGAGTTGATTGGTCCACGTCCATCACCATGTGTAAGTCGCATCTTTCATGTTATAGCTTAAGTTATTCTGATATAGCCTAGTTAACATCCTAACCATGTTTAACCGAACCTAACTTTTACTTAACCTAATTTAACTTAGATTTACTTATAACAATCTAAACTTACAACTCTACTTACAAAACCTAACTTATTAAACGTATCTTAACCGTTGTAAGTCATATTAAACCAACACATCCTGGGGGTTAATTATGACCTAATCTTTTAATAGGAGAGTCGAGTGAACAAGTTAGCCATGGAGCCAATCACTACACGCCGTGGCCGCATAGGTGTACATTCTGCCAAACTGTACGCGGATTTTACAATAGTCAAGAATAAACACTGCGAGTATAAGTATTCCCTTTCGCGTTGTTTCTTCCTCTAGCGTAGCCTCACTCCCGTTGTCAAATATAGGCGCTAATATCAACACAACATTCATATTGACTTAATTTTGTTTATTAAAGTTAAGCTACGAACGACACTACTGACACCCAGACACAATAATATCCCGAGGTATCTTTACACGCCCTCACCTCCTCTTCTCTCACTCGTTTATCACCACATGTCGTTAACTCCTGTTTACTCTGCACCTTGGCGAGGCTCCACAGGTGTTAAGAGCTCGTTAGGAGAGTTTACAGGAGGCGGGATACTGTGAGTGAGTGTGTGAGTGTGTGTGTGTGTGTGAGTGTGTGTGAGTGAGTGTGTGCAATGTGGTATATAGCGAATTTGACTTCAGGGATTCAGAGTTAAAGCATAATGACATTGACACACTTTGAACGCCACACACGCACAGTATCGGGCGAGGTGTGTACCGTGCTAGGAATCCAAGGTATGAACGAGGGTCACTCACTACCACCTTGACCCTCTCAGCTGTGTGGTGGTGGTGGTGGTGGTAGGTGGTGGTAGGTAGGTAGTGGTGGTAGGTAGGTAGGTAGGTGGTGGTAGGTAGGTGGGTGGTGGTAGGTAGGTAGGGTGTAGGGTGGTGGTGGTGGTGTGGTGGTGGTGGGTGGGTGGGGTGGTGGGTGGTGGTGGAGTGGTGGGTGGTGGTGTGGTGGTGGTGTGGTGGTGGTGGTGGTGGTGTTAGTGGGTGGTGGGTGGTGGTGGTGTGGTGGTAGGGTGGTGGTGGTGGTGGTGGTGGTGGTAGTGGTGGTGGTAGTGGTAGTGGTGGTGGTAGTGGTAGTGGTGGTAGTGGTGGTAGGGGGTAGTGGTGGTGGCCGTAGTTGGTAGTGGTCGTAGTTGGTAGTAGTCATAGTTGGTGGTGTGTAGTGACCAAACCTACCACCACCACCACCACCACCACCACCCTCATCCATCACACAGGACAGGTGGCTCACTACACCAGCTGCTGCCCACCTATACAAACAAGGAATGGTGTTATGGATTCACAGAATTCTTGTTTAGAAATTGACGACAAACGCTATACAGGAGAGTGTTATACAGTACTTTATTGTAAACCACCCTGACCCACCTTAGCACACCTTGACCCACTCTGCTCCACCCTGACCCACCCTGGCACACCTTGACCCACCTTAGCACACCTTGACCCACTCTGCTCCACCTTGGCACACCTTGACCCACTCTGCTCCACCCTGACCCACCTTAGCACACCTTGACCCACTCTGCTCCACCCTGACCCACCCTTGACCCACCCTGACCCACCAAAACCAAAATAGTGAGGGCGGGTTGGTCTAAATATATACTCCCCTGGTCTTATTCAGAGAGAGGAAACTAATCAATAGTCTGTTACCTGTGAATCCACCTGTCGGGGAGGTTGTGTGGGGGCTGTGACGACCTATCTACCACTCCAACAGAAGGTCGTCTTTGTCGTGGTGAGGAAGGGTGATGGTCGTCTCTATGGGGTCCACTGTGGTGTATATCTGTCTTCATCCTACTTTGTTGGATGTTAATTTCTTGCGTTTTCTATTTTACTGAAATGGTGGAGGGTAGTGTTGGAGGGTAATGGTGGAGGGTAGTGTTGGAGGGTAATGGTGGAGGGTAGTGGTGGAGGGTATTGGTGGAGGGTAGTGGTGGAGGGTATTGGTGGAGGGTATTGGTGGAGCGTAATGGTGGAGGGTAGTGATGGAGGTGTGGTGGAGGGTAATGGTGGAGGTGAGTGGTGGAGGTATTGGTGGAGGGTAATTAATTGGAGGTATTGGTGGAGGTATTGGTGGGCCCGTAATGGGTGGAAGTAGTGGTGGGAGTAATGGTGGAGGGTAGTGGTGGAGGAGTATTGGTGGAGGTATTGGTGGAGCGTAATGGTGGAGGTAGTGGTGGAGGTAATGGTAGGAGGTAGTGGTGGAGGTAATGGTGGGAGTAGTGGTGGAGGAGGTAGTGATGGAGGTAATTGGCCTTGGAGGTAATGGTGGGAGTAATGGTGGAGGGTAGTGGTGGGAGAATTAATGGTGGTGGTGGAGTAGTTTGTGGGTGGAGGAAGTTTATCACAAAGGAGGAGACAGACAGGAAGCAAAAGGCGGACAGTAAATGTGTGTGTGTGTGTGTGTGTGTGTGTGTGTGTGTGTGTGTGTGTGTGTGTGTGTGTGTGTATGTGTGTGTGTGTGTGTGTGTGTGTGTGTGTGTGTGTGTGTGTGTGTGTGTGTGTGTGTGTGTGTGTGTTGGTTGAATATTAATATGCACGTCTATGCATATCGGGACACACACAGTCATACATACATACATGCTCATCAAGCCACACACACACACAATCATTCATACATACATATCTGTACACTCCCACCTACGCATCAAGTCACACACAAACACACACACAGTACACTGTCCTTAATAACACAAACATAACCAGACACAAACAACAAACTAACAAATAAATAAATAAATAAATAAATAAAACGCGGGTTGGTTGCTTCTCTCATACCTGGTGGCGTCATCATCTACTGTACGTCACGGGGGACCTGAGAGTGGTAAAGGTGATGTGATGATTAACCTTGAGTGAGAGAGAGAGAGAGAGAGAGAGAGAGAGAGAGATTGGTTTGTTTAAGTCACTAAATGATTCTTCTTTAGTTATTTACTGTCACTCTATCAAATATTCTTTTATCATTCTACAGTATATAACAGTATTCTCTTTTCTCTCTACAGTCATCTTCTTATCATTCGGATCTTTTCATTATTTTTCTATTTATAGATTAATATTTACAAAGACATGAAAAATACAGTGTTCATCCTCCCTCCCTTTCTCAGCCCTCCCTCAGGCCTCTCTCCCTCCTTCAGCCCCCCCCCCTCTCTCTCAGCCCCTACTCCCTCCCTCCCCTCTCTCCAACCCTCATCTTCCCTCCCGCCCTCCCTCATCTTCCCTCCCGCCCCTCCCTCCTTCACGCTCTGTAAAAATGAGCATTAATCCCACTTTTAATCTGCGTAATAAATGCTCGTGATTAGAAAATAAAATAAAAAATCAATATTATTTTTTATCTATTTTAAACAGGGAGCAGCTTGGAGGAGGGAGTAAAGTCAGAATGATGGTGACGCTGGTGGCAGTTGATGGTGACGTTGGTGGCAGTTGATGGTGACGTTGGTGGCAGTTGATGGTGACAGGTGACGTTGATGGTGACAAGTGATGGTAGCAAGAGACAGGAAGTGTGAGGAGATTGCGAGTGAGTGAGGAGATCAGTGAAGACACGCGAGAGAGAGAGAGAGAGAGAGAGAGAGAGAGAGAGAGAGAGAGAGAGAGAGCCACCAATCACTACAGGAAGATCACCACTGGGAGATCAATAGAGACACACCTCCTTGAAGACCCAACACGGAGAGAAAGATATGGTGATAATATTGATGCTCTGAAGGTGACCATTATAAGTAGCATAAGAGGGGAGGAGAGCAGTGAAGTGTTATGAGGGAACTGGTAAACACACACCCAAGAGTTCCACCAAATGACTTCTTCACTCTCCAGGGTGATGTGTTGTTGAGAGGTGAAGTTCTTGTATATAGACGCACCTCATGTTTAGTAAGATAAAGGTGTTTCATTTAGTGCTACATTGTGTGGTGAAGGAGTTAAGGACAACCTCGTAGGAACTTGAGCTTGTTGTGGGAGGTGAAGGATGACGGAGGCGATGACGGTGCAGGGATGTGACAATCAGCACCCCCGCTCTGGTTCCTCTCCACCTCAGGACACAGTGACCCTAACTCAATGCCTCCCACACGCCTCCACACGCCACCAAGCGCACGCCTCGCCTGGTTCAAGTCAAGTGTGTTCCCCTGGAGACAGCGTGGGGATTCAACAAGTGGATCCTGAAGTTTGTTGTGAAAGCCGAGCAGTTTTAAGATTCAGTGATGGTGGTCGAAATATCCCGAGTGGTGTTGATTTACCGGAACCAGAAACGTGTGACACAGCTCAGATGAGTCCTGGAGGTGAGCAAGTGTCCCGGGAGTGTGGTGATGGTACAGGTGAGCCTCGGGCAGACTCTGGACCTAGTCAGGATCACGCAGGACGCTCTACAACTTGTGGGGAACATAACAGGAGTTTCGACAACTTGAGTGCAATAGAAACAGCGTCTGGGACCTGTACCAGCTGCGATAACAATACTATTAGCCCGCAAATCGTCGTAAGACCAGAGGACAACGGCTCACAGGTGAGGTCTGGTCTGACCCACGAGACCCTCTGGCGGAGCGACAGCTGGGAGTCGTGTAGCACCACCAGCTCCGGGTACAGCGACGACAGTGTGCGGAGTGACGACTTATCGCACGACTCAGAAAACGACATCTTCATTGACTGTGGCCACGACGACTTCCCCTTCTGCCAGTGTCTAAACGAGAAGGTAGGCGGTACGTCCAGCTTCCACTGTGAGCACGATGACTTCCCCTTCTGTGACTGCCTCGCCCAGGCCGCCGCTAAGAAACATAAGTCTCTCCGCTACGGCTCCCCGCGGGGTGAAAGACGACGCCAACGCGGTTACATAAGGCCGTCTCTCAGTGCTTTCCGAGACGCTGGCCTTGAAGTCTTCGACGAGACAGAAGAGTCCGACTTCCAAGAGTCCGAGACCGAGGCCGACACAACGCGAGGACACGGCACAGACGTTGACTCTGACTACACGGCCGGCCTGGAGTCTGACGTGGAGGGAGCCGTGGGATACACCGAACTTGACGCAGATGAACCCTCCACTCCCTCGACGGGTCTTCTGGCGCCTCCTGGTCTCCCGGGGGTCCGTCGGGCGTCCATAGTCACCAGCAACAGTCGAAGAGGATCTATCCAGGCGACGCCGGAGCCCGTGAAGGTGGCGGTGTTCGGCAGTGATGGCGTTGGCAAGTCCGGTGAGTACCCCTCAACTACTGGCACTTGTGGTTTGTATATTTAACAGGACAAGACATGGACCTAAAAGTGTGTCTGTCTGTGTCTGTAAAAAGATTAATTATTATTTTGTGTCTATTGGCCTAAAAAAATCTATGTCATACCAACTTTAAAACCACGACACTGTCCTGTTAGATACCTCAACCCTAACTTGTACGAGACTTAACCTAAACTGTAACATTCCTGAGTTTTTGTTACGACGGCGAGGAAGGCGACTCAGTTTGGTATTCAAGGGACTGACTCATCATACTCAGGGAGTCAGTCACTCACGAGGCCTGAGGCATATTCATGGGATTAAACTATTCCTGCCTCTTCTCTTCCTTCATTTTACTTTTCATCCTCTTTCTCCTATTTTTCTTCCTCTTCTTCAGTTTCCTCCTCTTTCTCCTCTTCATTTTCCTCTTCTTTATCCTCTTTTTCTTCTTCCTTCTCCTCCGCCTTTCACTCTTCCTCCTCCTCTTCCTCTCTTTCTCACGGTTGATTAGCGAAATCCTGTAAATGCAATTACGTCAAGACGACCAAGAAACCTTACCCTAGCATCACCCCTATCTCTCCCTGTCTACCTCCCTCCCTTATCTCTCCCTTCCACTTCCTCCCCCTCCTTCGTCCCCCCTACACCCCTCCCTTTCACTCTCGGCCTCTTTCCTCCTCCCTATCTCTCCTTAGTCCTCCACTACACCTCCCTCTCCCACTCTTCCATCCCTTCCTACACCCCCACCTCCTCGCCCCTCTCCCCACCTCCCTTCTTTCTCTCTCACCTTCCAATATCAGCCAATAATTAACTTTGGTGTAGCTCCCAAGATTATCAAAACACCACACACACACACACACACACACACACACACACACACACACACACACACACACACACACACAGGCTCATTGTAACATACCTGTTTACTGTTGTTTACATTAATGTATATCATCAAACGCAACACAAGTCTTTGATGGTACGAGGCAGTTGGGGTCAGTTCGTTTGACCTACTATGTAAAAGCTCGTATACCCTTGTTTAATTGGACGTTGGCACCGACTGTTATGTCTGGTGGGGATGAGGGAGGTGTGGTGGAGGGGGGGAGGTTCTGTTATACTCAGGGTCCTTGACGCTGCCACCACCACAATAACCACCTCTTGCCGCCCACCACAATAACCACCTCTTGCCGCCCACCACAATAACCACCTCTTGCCGCCCACCACAATAACCACCTCTTGCTGCCCACCACTGTTCAACAAACCCGCGTTCTTGTAGTCTAGTATCTGGATTCAGGTGTTGAGATGCGCGGCGAACGTTATCTAATTGGCTCGGTATATCAATGGTGCGGGAATCTCAAAGAACCGTTTGTTAATTAATTCCCTTCATTAGGTATATGAGAGGACGTATCTAACTGGATTTCCACCAAAGTTGTATAATTTTAATTTACCTTTAATTTGAAAAATGAGATAAATTGACTCACATAAACTTGTGATGGGAAGTTGGATGCCAGAAGAACATCAAAATTGCTCTTATAATCAACTTTAACAAGATGTGCCTTTCTATCATAACAACACGCTCCTTTCTACCATAATATGCTCCTTTCTACCATAAGATGCTCCTTTCTACCTTAAGATGCTTCTTTCTACCATAATATGCTACTTTCTACCATAAAATGCTCCTTTCTACCTTAAGATGTTCCTTTCTACCATAATATGCTCCTTTCTCACATATGCTCCTTTCTACCTTAACAAAATGCTCCTTTTTACCACAACAAGATGCTCCTTTCTACCTTAACAAAATGCTCCTTTCTACCACAACAAGATGCTCCTTTCTACCACAACAAAATGCTCCTTTTTACCACAACAAGATGCTCCTTTTTACCACAACAAGATGCTCCTTTCTACCACAAAAAAGTGCTCCTGTCTGCCTTAAGAGGAACACAGTGTAGGGACCTCTGTGAATGTGTTCCTTGTCTGTACTGGGTTGTCAAAAGGTGAATTCCCCCGACTGATGATATTAAAAAGTCCTTCTTTTTCTCCCTGCCAAGACAATGGTCTAATTGGATGGACGACCAACATGGGGAGCAGGTATTGTAACTCCATGCTCTCACCCTCACTCACTCACTCCCTCACTCCTTCACTCCCTACTCTCTCATCCCCTTACTTACTCCCTCACCCCCTCCCTCTCACTCACTCACTCCCTCACCTCCTCCCTCATTCCCCCACTCTCTCACCCCTCACCTCCCCACTCCCCTATTATCCTCCTCCCTCTCTCACGTGCTGGGTGTGAAAGTGGTGGGATATGCACTACACACTCTCACACGTCTCGCACTCATCTCGATTATCCTGGCTCCTTCACCTGCCACAGAGGGCGGTGGAAGGTTATACAGGGGGAGGTGGAAGGTTATACAGGGGGAGGTGGAAGTTTATACAGGGGGTGGTGGAAGGTTATACAGGGGGTGGTGGAAGGTTATACAGGGGGTGGTGGAAGGTTATGCAGGGGTGGTGGAAGGTTATATAGGGGTGGTGGAAGGTTATACAGGGGAGGTGGAAGTTTATACAGGGGGTGGTGGAAGGTTATACAGGGGAGGTGGAAGTTTATACAGGGGACGGTGGAAGGAGTTATACAGGGGTGGTGGAAGGTTATACAGGGGGAGGTGGAAGTTTATACAGGGGGTGGTGGAAGGTTATACAGGGGGTGGTGGAAGGTTATACAGGGGGTGGTGGAAGGTTATACAGGGGGTGGTGGAAGGTTATACAGGGGGTGGTGGAAGGTTATATAGGGGGTGGTGGAAGGTTATACAGGAGGAGGTGGAAGGTTATACAGGGGGAGGTGGAAGGTTATATAACAGACGTATTATATAAGTCATGTTCTTAGTATTGTTCTACAGTGAACAACATAACTGAAGAACATATCTGCCTGAATCTCTAGAACAATAACACAAAGATAATGAACATATATGACGTCTAAATTACCCTGAGACTGTACCCTACCTAGCTTTCTTGTTCCCAGGCTATGGAGAATCGTAACATTGGCGCAGGAGATGAGGAAATTGGAGGAAAATTGAATCCGATGTGAGTAGTTGTGTGAGAGGCAAGAGTCCACGATCGGTGAGATGGCTAGGGTAACTCACGCGAGAGACAGACAGACAAGAGATAGAGAGGCAAAAAAATACCAATGAATAGAGTAAAACAAAGATGAACTAAAATTAACGAGAATAAACTAAAGGAATAAAAGTAAACTAAATAATGAACGCTATGGCCGCTATCATCACCCGTTCGTGAATCTAAGCGCACTACGTATATTATTATTTCCTTTCTTGGTAATAAAAACACCTCTAAAATCCTTCAGCTCTTTCTCCACAATGAGAAGTCTATTAGTCGTCTTTATTCAGTAAATCAAGATCCCCTTAAAGAAGCACCTGGGGATGGTGAAAGACAAAAGAGCATTGCTTCTTTAACCCACAACGTTTTACTTAGTCTTTTTTCTTATTATCTAACATCGTATTTTATCATATCCTTACAGTACAAATTGAGGATATAATTTTGTCTAAAGAATTTGTGTGTATAAGAAATAATATTAGGAAATTCCGGACCTAATAACAGACCATTTTATATTGGTTTTCTCTGCTCCTTCAACCCGAGATGTTTCGAAGCGCATCTCTTTTAAACCTAATTGTTTTATCTTTAACAAGCATAATACCTCCCCTCTTTTGTGAGAAACTAATATATTTTGTATTTATTTGAAGTAGTGTACGTGATTTTGACGTCTTAAAAACTCTAGATTCTATAACAATATATGTAAAAAATAATTCGCCACCTACAGGAAAAAGAAAATAACATCGTTAGTTTAACCTAAAATGTTTTCTACACTACATTATTTTCTACATTATTGTTTTATAGAGAAACCAGTTTATCTAATATATCGTCTACAATATCCCAGTAGCATCACCAGAATAAGAGAAGCTATAGGTACTGAAAACAAAAAGAGCATCGCTAATTTAAGTAAAAATATTGTCTACTGTGCCACTGTTGTTATGTAGATTATAATACTGCATCTCTTATAAGAAAAAAAAACAATAAATGCAATAAAATGTCTTTAGTAACCGTATACGAGTAAATATAAGGAAAAACGCGTTACAGATAAAGAAAACGTCCCCGCAAGGTGGACAGCCCACCTGCTATCAATCTCCCTCTTTATTTCCCACTTCCCAACCCTTACCTTCCTCCTACACCGTCTTCCATCTTCTGAGCCAATAGGCTCTCTTCTCTCCATCCCATCGGATCGATAAAGAAAACAAAGGCGAATCGTTCATCTCCTTAGGTAAAACGTCGGTCGATGTATCGATCCAGCCATCAAACGTTACGTGATGAGGAATTGGCTGATAATGGCGTGAAGTGAAGCCAATTACATCAAGGGGAGCGAGAGAGGTAAACAGGAGGGAGGGATACGGGGGGGGGGAGCGAGAGGGAAAGGAATGAGGGAATTACGATGTTTTTTTGTTTGTTTTTTTCTATCAACGTGTCAACTGTGCCCTCTCTCTCTCTCTCATATAATCACCATGGTTACCCGACACACACACACACACACACACCTGGAGATTATAGCTGGGAACACTACTACTATTACCACCACCACTACCACTGTCACCACTCCCTCCACCACACCCCTTCCATCACTACCACATTATCACCTCCCCAGCACTACCGCCATCTTCACTACCACCATCATCCTTATCTAATAACTTCCCAGAAAATATTTGGTTACGTAAAACACACACACACACACACACATATATATATATATATATATATCATAAAACTTTCCATGTTGTGAATGACGTCATATACAGTATATATTCGATATATATTCGAACAGATTTGAATAAGATAAATAGTAAGAGATATTCAGTGTTTGTTTGTTTTTAATCATTCACGTATGGCCAAAGTGTTCACGTATGGCCAAAGTGTTCACGTATGGCCAAATTGTGA